GCCGCCTCCGGGGATACAGTGACCACTACAGCCGCAGTTTTAGGCGCCTGTAGTTTCTGCGCCTTCCTCTTATTAGCCACCGCCACCGAAGACGACTGCAGAGCAGAGGCTGCTTTTTTGGCCTTCTTACCCCGCTTTCGGGACTTCTTGGTCCCCCTGACTACTTGCCACCCATCGTTTGAGGGAGCAGTCGTAGAGGGGACCGTTGTTGAGGGGCCAGGTGTTAGAGTGGGGAGCCGTGGAAGCTCTGTTCCTGCCTTTGTCCCCTTTCCCGTTTTCTTCTCCACTTGTCTCGCTTTTAATGCAGTCACCGGCGCGGTTGCCGACGCCGCCGCCGCATAAGACACGCGGCTACCTGCAACGGGAAGTGGAGTCTGCACGGTTGCTGTCTTCGGCCTATCCGCTGCTAGGGGCGGCCGATCAACGGGAGCCGTTGGGAGCCTACCTTTCAGGCCCGCGAGACGTCCGTCCAACATGCACCCCACCGCGTCAAGTATTTTGCGCAGGTGGGCATCGGAGACATCCCCGGGACCGTGAGCGGGGAGGCGAGGCTCCTGTGAAGCCAAGCCCTGTCGCTCAGGCCGATCCTCCTGCGACCTGAACTGGGCAAATTGAGCGCTTAGCTCAGCCACCTGCCCTGTCAATCGATCGTTAGCCGCTTCGAGACTTGTTGTTGATGTATATATGTCCTTATTTATTGTAATTAGTAAAACCGTTATAATTAAAATAAATAAATAAATTGATCATTTCACGCTACTTCTAAGATCGAACGAAACATTCGTAATGTAAATAAACAAATGCTTTGTATTCGTTCGGCAATTGTTTGGTTAATTTAACATATTCTATTGTCATGCCCAATGAAATGGTTTAGTTGTGCCCAATATTGTTTGAACGTATTTCTTCTTAAAAAATTCTTAAATTTAAAAACATGGAGTCTTTTCTAGGTTCTATGAGAGATGTGACTTTTTCCCGTAATTTTGTAAAGGTACAACTTTATCTATAAAGTATAAATAACTGGGCTGTGCGGTCAGAGAGTGCGAACTCTATGAATTTGGCCATGCATGGCCTTTGCAAATTATGTGCAAGATTGTCAATACAAGTTTTGCTTGTTATCCGTGTTGGTTGATCTAAAGCTTATTTTAGATTAAAGCGTGTCAGGAGACATTTGAATTCAACTGTCATGTTATTGTTTTTCAAAATATCAGTATAGTATCAGTATTAAAATCAGCGGCCATTACAATATTCGCTTATTCTTTTTACTTATTGCAAACAATAACTGCTTTAATTTTTGAAAAATAGTGTCCCATAGATACATATTATAATGACTATTTTATGTTCCAATAGTTCTACCCCACAGCATTCAAATATTCACAAAAATATTTGTGAATATTTGGCAACCTCTGTTAGCTCCTTACAGGAACGCCCTGGTTTTAATAGAATGCACGCGCCGCCTCTTTTACTACTTAGCTTACTGTAACAGGCAGCTAGGTAATAATTCGGTACATCAAGGTGGCCTTCATAGCCCGACATCATAAAATGTTCAGTAATGCATATCACGTCAACAAATTTGTTCGTTTCTACAAGCTCATTAAGACAAACAGAGCGAGTATTGCCGGCTATATTCTGATGTAGTACGTTCAAACATTTACTAACTAACCAAGTTGTCAGCACATATTGTTTATTCATTATGTTTGTTATTAACATAATGAACGAACAGAATAATATATCTACACCAGAGTCATTGACATAATATTTTAAATTAATTAAAATATATTTCATTCCATAGTTATGAATGTGACCATTAAATGTTGTGTACATAGTGAGATCGCGCGACAAGTCTAAGTTGGAGTCAAGTAAAGCAGCATATTGATGTGTAATTATGTCGAGATAAAGGAGATTGTTAAAAGTTTATACTCTCCAATTATACATTGTATTATATTGGTTAAGTTTACGAGTATATGTAGCAAACACAATATGATATTAGTATATTGGATGCCCAATAACGTTTCTTGTATTTTTATTATGATACTAGTATCAAAGTAATTTTTAGTTTGTTCAAAATGATACCGTTCTACTTGGTATATTTAATCCGTGTAGTGACGGATTAAGAATACGGAATGTCACTACCCCAATTCATCCCGTGGGTGTCGTAAGAGCCGACTAAGGGAGCAAACTAAGCAAGACAACAGCACTGCAAAGAGAAGGAAAACTTGAAACAAACCCTATACCAACCCGTCTGGCCAGCGTGGTATAGTAGGCCAAAACCTCCTTTCTAAGGAGAGGCCTATGTCCAGCAGTGGACTAGTATAGGCTGTTGATGTGATGATGTGATTATAAGAAACTTCATATTGCAAAATGCCGTGTTGTGTAACTGCATATTTAACTTATACGTAAGGATATGTGGTTTGTCCGACAAACCTTTACTATGTGGCAGAGTAAATATACTTGTCTGTTTCAAATCTAATGCACATCATTTGTCATAATAATACAGCAAACTCTGCCTATGCAATTTTCCTCTATTTCCGATGAAAAGTAGTATCAGAAAATTGTATCCTGGCTGAACTTGAAACTGGTAAATTTTTGTTAATATTTGACAATAATATAAACAGAAATTAGATACTATTAAATAACTGCACACATTTACCAGCAACTGACCCATACAAAATAAAAAAAAAATAAAAAATCCCTTCTCAATCTCATCACTGAATATTACAATTTTATTTCTTTTTAAGGTTGAGTTGAGGTGTTGTTCTGTGATGTTAAGGGATGTAATATATTTGTTTGCAAGTAACATGGAGGTGTCACAAGCCACGTCAGAGTGAACCGAGGAGTATTGACTACTAAATAAGTCATTTTTTTACTAACAATTGAGCATGATTACAATTACATTTCTGGCAAAAAGAAACTTACAGCACAAATAAAGAAATAATTCCAAAAAATAAAAAAGTTGAAAATTAAGATAAGTTTTGGTACTTACATATTTTCGCGAAAATCTACGTAAAACCTGGGTAAGGTACGGAACCCTCGGCGCAAGAGTTCGACTCGTACCTGACCGGTTTTTTTTTACTTTAACACTAATGCTTTTGTTAGGCTAGTCCGTTGTATGTTTTTGCGCTCTCATAATCGGTAAAATAAATATGGACTGAAATATTTTGTATAAATAGTGTCTGATGTTACGTTTGGAACGGGCTCAAAGAGCAGTACTAAAGGTCATGTCTCACAAGCCTATGTATTTCCCTACCAAGGAATTGTACGAACTTTGTAAAATTCCTACTGTAAGGCACTCTTTACTCTTTACTCGCTAGCTTCACTCTCATACGAAGAGTTGGATAATCTAACTAAATGGGGAGGAAGTTCTGCGTGCAATACGTACATTCACAAACAAACACACCCACACACACATACACACACACAAACACAAACACACACTATACCCAAATTTTATTGTAATCAATGGAACGATGCTGTCGTCTCCTTCCTGGAGGTGGACGTTAATAGCCATGACACAGGTTTTAACCAATATGGCTGTTATCGAAGATCTTTAAATTATATATTGTTTTCTTGTTCCAAATAAAGATTATTATTATTATATAGTTACATCTACATTTGGTGCGCCGATAAGCGTGTTCTTTGAATGTGTGTGTGTGTGTGTGTGTGTGTGTGTGTGTGTGTTTTTATTCTCTAATTATGTTCTCATAGCATTAGACAAGCACATTTGATTAGACGTGCATTCGTGTAGTGTATTTGTGTATTATAAATGTTTTGAAAGAAATTTACATTTATTTTATTTTTCTTCTGCAAGGAGGTGGGGTTAGCACATTAGGTATGACGTGTATTTAATCTTTGTTACAAATGTGTTACTCAAAATGTCTCTGTCTCAAAATGTATTCAGTGTTCATCTAATATTCACTTAATCACCTCTAATACCTGTTTCCTTTACAGTATTATGTGTCAAGCTCAGGTGTCAATAATGAAACCTAAATCAACTATTTTCAACACCAGTATTTCCTTCTCGATGATGATTTAACAGCCAAATGTAAATGATGTGAAAAAGTACTCGCGAAGGGACCATGTAACCACCACAGTTTTCAGAGTTTGTGAAGTAAGATGAAGGTGTATAACTTTCATTGGAAATGATCAGGCAAGGAGTTGAATGCCTAGTTATTAATAATTGAAAGGTTTTGTCAAATTAGATTATAGTTATACAGTTTTGCATGTTTAGTGCAAGGACCGAATCCTTATGAAACTCAACCCCACTCTCGCGCACTTGTGCGTAAATGAAATTCTCTTTTAAATTTCAAAGGCAATAAAGACTTTTTCTCTTTTTCTAAAAGTGAATGCTTTCCGTATCCACATTATACTGATAGTATTTATTTAATTGGTTTGTTTTCTGCCACATAAAATCAGATAATTGGTACCAAAAAAAGATATTGTGGTATTTTGTAAGCGCGTGTAGTTGTGTTATAGTGTTTTATGTTTTCTGTTGACAAGTCGACCTTTAAACCGGCTGTTGTTTAGCATTGACTTGTTTAATTCCTTCACCGCGTCTAATTTTATAATTGTTAGTTATGTACGCAGTCCTATACCGCGCAGGAGGTTCCGCAACAAGATACATTAAATGCTCCAGGAAGCTTTAGACTAACAGAACATAGACTTCAAGTATATCCCATATAATGTTGGTTGGTACGATTACACTCAGAATTCAAGTAATCTTCAGTACAGTGAGAGTAGAAGAAAAATACTTAAGTAATTATGTTTTACACCGACACGTTCTTGAATATTTGTTCGCTTTTAGTTCATTAAGAGGTCACAGAAAAGTTCGGACGGAAGTTGGGACATATGACGTCACACTATTAAGTCACGTGTTCGCTTCGAAGATTATTTAATTTGATGATTATATTTACGAGTATTTTGGACCATAACAAATTGGCTTAACTTATAAGAGGCGCAATGGCCACGTCTCGATCACTGGGTAGGGTCACGCCGCCTAGTGTCGAAACATGCTGCTCGAGTGCCTGTTCATATTTGTCGTGGTGCTGTATGTGTGTCAGCGATGGGCCAAGAGGGACATCTACGCTCTGGAGAAGCAGCTCCGCTCTGGACTAAGATCGCTGCCGTTTCTTGGACACGGCTACCTTTTCTTTGGGAATAATCAGAGTAAGTATATTTCAAAGATTATAAAACCTACTTCTTGTGTTTCCTTAAATTATTCAACTTTCTTAACACAGCAGCGTCTACAGCTAAACAAGGAACATCCCTATGAATCTTTCGGTTAAAACTTAGGAACCAATAGGTATACAATTCGGCTGCCCCGCTGCTGCGGCCCCAAATCAAAGCCCAGTACTTAAGTGCTTTTAACAAATTTTAGAAGAGAGCGCAAAAACATAAAACGCACTAGCCTCACAAAGGTGTTAGTGTTAAATTAAAAAGGGATATTTATTGGAAAGATCACTAACCACTGTTGAGTATACTTCGAAAATAATGTACACTTCACGTTTTAAACCCCTTACTATCTTTGAAATTGAACAAACTCAACTTTTGCCTCTGTCCTGACGCGTTGCAAAATCTAGTTACATCACAACGCCAGCATGCCAATTTTAAGTATTAAAAACAGATCTTTTACATGTCCATTAAACCTCATATTTCTTTAATTGATTATAATTTATTTAAACTTTGAAATTTCTTTTAAACATTCTTATTTTAAAAACATCTAAAAATTTTGATATGGAACCAGCAAAATGATTCAATAATGACTTTATATATAACTAGGATCTGTAAAACTTTCCTTCACGTCCATCCTTTCAGCAACAGTAACGCTTAAAATTCTATCTATTCGTTTTTTTTTCTTTTTCTTTATAGTTTAGTCATAGTTCGTTTCTTTATAGTTTATTCTTTTTTGTTGTTTTTATTCCTCAAGACTCGGCAGGCTTGTAACACAATTTTATTATTTAAAAAATCCAGCTCAATGCATGTCTCCTCAAGTCTTGTAATCTATCAAATCAATCTGATACCTTTATTATTGAAACGCTAGTAAACTATGTGCATCCCAAACATTCAAGCTATTTTCATGCAAAATTTTCAGCAGTTATGCACCATACAGACGCAGATAGACAGACATTTGTGGTATACACCGGACATTAGCAAAGAATATCCTCACTTATATTAGAAATGTGAAAGTGAGTTTGTTTGTTACGCTTTAACGGGTACACCACTTAACTGATTTTAAAATTCTTTCATTCATTCTTAATGTAAAGCTACATTATCATAATTACCTTGTTTTATAAAGTAGGTTCATTGATACACATATAAATTCTACTTCTTAAAATAAATTTTAACGAGCTGCCCACTTATTCCTTGGCCATTCATAATTGGACGTAGTTACACGATAGGGATCCAATCCACATGAAGCTAGTTTTGAGATATTTAACTTTAAAATTTAAGTCGTAATTCTTCTATGATGCGGTACCATAAATTTGTGGGTTTTATCAAAATTAGTAGGAAATCTTGTTATATTTTAACTATAAATCAAATTCACTAAGTTTGATTTCATATTTTCAATAATATTCAAGAAAATAGGGGCTTGGATCCTTTTTGATATATAGTATTCTCAATAAGACCAGCATAAAATGATAGTTTCGCAGTAAAGCTCCACTGCATCAACTGCTAACGAAATCTTTAAAAATAAATAAAATAACCAATAAATACCTAAAACTGTATTATTCTTATAACATACCTATCAAGTTAAAAAAAAAACAATGGATAAAAAAAGAGATTAATACTGTTGATAACATAATTAAACTGTAATCAAAAGAAAACTCTGCAGAGTCATTATAATGCTCATTCTGCCTGACTTTCATTTTCAATCTGAAAATCAAGCTGACCGCTGAATCCTTCAAGATCATCCTCTATATTTTTATCCCCCTGAAGAGACTTGTAAAAGTCTAAACAGTCTTTCGGAATTAAGTGGAACATTGACTTCAGATCATCCAGTTTAGGTTGAGCGATTTTTTTGCCTGTAGGCCACAACATGATAAAGTCGTTTTCAGAAAAATCTAAAGATTTTCCTTTCACTTTGTTCTGTAAATTAAGTTCACTGGTCATTATTTATTTCACTCTTCATAAAAATAATATATTTCTCTTCTTTCTTTAATGAAATCACTTTTTTTTGTAGCCAATTAGTTTTCTGCTTGTTTGTAAAAGTTTTTCTGTTTACTCTATTTTTTTCAATATTTTTTGAGCTCAGGAAGTCCTCTTTAACCATTTTTTTAACTTTGAGCGGATTCTTTCTTTTGGAACTCCTAATGACTTGCATATACTCGTCAGCAGTGTAAATTCGTTGATGCATTTTTACTGCATTAAAGTATCGACCTTCACGGACTTCTTGGCATACTTAACTCAATTTTGGTATTTTTGTGGATTGGTTCCTTTTTGTGTAACTACGTCCAATTGTTCTGAACTTCCTTAACCTTAATATTTTTCAAGATCGCATGACCGTATCTTTAAAATCCTGGAAATCGTATATATTTTTATTGTGTTTTTTTTTCACTTTTAGTTCAATATTAGCGTGTACTGCGTCCGCAGACATATGAGTGTTTTCCTTCGTTAGATAGCTGATGGTTATCGTCTATATAACATTTGTTAGATTTTTAGTGTCTTAGTCAAGGCTGTATAAATTGTCCAATTCTTATTTTAGGCGCGTCGCGTCACCTTTCAAAAACCTAGTAAACCTCATTTACCATAAGTTACCATTTTGAAGTGGTAAAGGCGAGTTACTAAGTTTTTGATCTGATTGTTTGATAGAGTATAGTAAACATACTCGGTTTTATGGTATCAAGATCTTTTTTATTTCTAAGATTTTAAAGCAATTCACAATTATGAAAGTTTGAAATATGCAAAAAATGTGATTTCAGAAAGAAATGTCCCTTACTTTATGTTTTGATTAGGCAGCCGAATTGTTGAAGTACTACTATTTTGACATTAAATGCGCTTAAACACTTTTTAACAAGAAAATAAACCGAACAAATGATAAAAGTATTATTGAATATTGTGGTGGTGAAATACAATGAAAGTTAAATACTTAAAACTTTTATTTGTTCCTAATTCTCAATCTATTGTGCCAGTTCATTCTTATTTGTTCATTATTTAAAGAACAATCTACCTAAATTTATCATTAAAATTGACAAAAAGTCAAAAATCGTTGTAGTAGTTGCTGATGAGTAACCCTGTATTTGATGGATGGTGCTCAAACACGACACCAAAAAATTTGATTGCAGAGTCTCCTCCGATCTTCGTCTGTTAATAAACTGAAATGATTGCTTTTTCTCATCATTCATGTCGTTTAGCATTATATAGTTTAATCCAACTGAGGAATTGAATGTGTCTGAGCGATGGAGTGCCTCTTGTAACACTTAATCTTGTTATAAAAGTAAGTATTAATTAAAATACTCAATTATTTTTTCAGCTCTCATGAAAGCCTTCCAAAGACTCGGTAGAGCTGCAATAAAAAATGAGCACGGTCTATGCCCTTTGTGGATAGGAACTAAATTTTATACAGGTGAGCTCTTATACCATTCAAAATTAACTTTTTCTGTGTGACTTTGATTTCAATATGATGTGAGGCCTATGTCTAGCAGTGGACGATTAAAAGCTGTTGATGTGATGATGCTCATTCCGAGACTATGTATTATGTTTATTTATTTAGTTCTTTTGCAACGGTCTCATAGCGAATATCCCTGGTCTTAAAAACTACTCTAAACTAAAACTATTTCAAGTTACGACAATTAGACGTACATTCAATTATTTTATTGTGTAATTTGTGTCCATCACTATTGAGAGTAGAACGTCGAGTGGGGCGACAGCTCCATCGCTCTATGGAGGCTCGTCTATAGCCTAACGGAGGCCGGGGACTTTTTTTAGGGGGGCCCTATCGATCGAAGGGCTCTGGTCACGTGGCCAGTGGGGCCTGGCTCTATTGCCACCCGTTAATGTTAACGGCCTAAATCGAATACAAAGCGATTGTTTCAAGTATTAAACTAATGGGCGTTACCTTGCATGACTTGTACGTAGTAATGGCCGACTGCGAGGCAGCGGATTTCGTGTTGAAGACAGCCTTGGCGAAGGACGACATCATGAAAATGGCGACTCTCTTCTTAGGCAATGGATCTATTTTTGCCCCAGGTACGAAATAAATTCGTCACCACAAATGGGCCATGAGCATATTTGTGGCGAAACTTTACGCGACATAAGCTATGTACTTACTTTATTTTAAGCAACGTTGTGCAAAGATTTCCACCCAAAAGACACACAGTAAGTATTTGAATTTCTTTTGGATACGAAAAAAACATACATTTATAAAGATTTGAAGATGACGATGGTGAAATACAAATGTAAGTTTATACGCACAATAATGTGCATTGAGAGTCCATATTTTAAGACCATAGCATTCCCTGTAAGTAGGTATATTTGTTATTACAAACAAATTTGGTACAAAATTTTAACTTCAGGACAGACAGACGCACGAGTGCATAGTCAGTCTTCCACCAAACCGTATACATACACACCATACATACTTTGGGTGACCGATTACGGCATTCTTCCAACAACCAATCACATTCTTTATTAAATGTGTATCATATAAATACTCAGAGTGTGCCCAGTCACTATAGTGAATTGACTGAAACTTTCTCTGACAACAATGTGCATGCCATCCTGATTTCGGAAACTTGGCTTAAGCCGCAGCTAGCTTCCATCTCTTATCCTCTCACTGATTCGAAACGACCGACTAGAGTCGAAAAGAGGTGGTGGGGTTGCCATTTACCGCCGTAGCTATTTACCTTACAAAATCCGATCCTTCTACTAGCGCTGAATACCTCTTCCTTGAAGTTTGTGTCAAAGGATCTAATGTTTTACTAGGGCTAATTTATTGCCCCCTGCTGTCAACTACTTCTCCAGTCTGGAAACAGTCCTGGAGTCTTTAGGGTCAAAATACTCATGGGCGATTTCAAAACCGATCTCCTATCACTTAACTCGCCCCATACTCGTAATCTCCTCCAGATCATTCAATCCACTAACCTTCCATGTCCTCCCCCAACTCATCACACACATCTCCTCAGCAACTCATCACAACACAAGACACTTGACTTGACCCAATGATCACCTCTGATCCAAGACTTATCTATTCCTATGGTCAACACCCTGCTCCTGGATTTTCCTATCATGAGTGGCTCTCCCTTTCTTATATTCTAAAACCCCCTAAATTTGCTCCCAAATTTTTGCATATTCGTAGTTTCAATCGAATGGACGTCAAAAATCTGTGTGCTGGTGCTTGGACATACTTGGTAGCAGCTATAGACATGAACGACAAAGTCACTATTTTCAATGTTAAATTGAAGCGCCCCCCAACTCCATGGATGACGGAGGACATTCGAATGGCTATGAGATGGAGACACCGTTATTTCAATAGGTACAGGAAAGATAGCTGTGAGAAGAAATATAATCTTTTTAAAGCTACTAGAAATCGGTGTAACCACGGGATACTTCTATAATTCAAAGTATAGAAACCTCTTCAACTTCCAGTGTGTGGAAGCTCCTTGGAACACTAGGCATTTGCAAGCAATAATGGCCGTTAATGGAGTTCTAGATGATATCAACCGTAATTTCTCAACTGAGTTGGATCATCAAACAAAGTGTCAAACCTTGAGCTATATAACTAGTCTAACCCGTACTGATATTGAATCCCTGACATTTCTCCGGTATCTTCTGAGGACACCAAAAATATTATCCTGTCCATTCGCTCCAATGCTGTGGATGTGACGGTATCAGCCATCGCATGATTATTACTATCCTGGACCACGTTCTTCCAGCATATCTCATATCATCAAATTTTCACTGGACTCTGGAACATTGCCCTCACTTTGGCGTAAGGCTTTCATCATCCCTCAACCCAAAAAACTAATCCCTCTCTCCCTGAACACTTTCGACTAATTCCTATACTTCCCTATCTTCTTAGTCCTTTACAATCTGGGTTCAGACCCGGTCACAGCACAACCATCGCTCTCCTCAAAGTGACTGGCAATATTAGGGAGGGTATGGAGGACACTAAAGTTACAGTGCTGGCTTTGATTGATTTCTTAAATGCCTGTAATACCGCTAGTTATGACTTTCTACTGGCCATCCTTTCCTATCTTATGATCTCCTCAAAAGCTCTGGAATGATTCTAATCCTATTTTCAGGGACGACAACAGAGTGTTCCTATCGATGATTTGTCGTCGAGTTGGTGTGATCTTTTTACTCGCGTCCCTCAAGGCGGTATATTATCTCCCTTGTTATTCTCAATATTCATTAATCTCATAACCTAACACCTTCAGTGTACGCATCACCTATACGCTGATGACTTACAAGTGTACACACAGTCAACAAAGACTTGGACTTTATAAAGAGCTGATCAACGAGGTTTGGTTTGTCGGTAAATTCAACCAAATGTCAAGTGATCGTCGTGGGGAACAAACTAATTATAAGAAGGTTAGATATAGCTGTCATCCCAACCAGTTGTGTGAATGCACGGATGGATTAGTGGTTTAAGCGGTCGCCACTCCGCTTTCTACTACGCCGAGTGTTGTGGGCTCAAGCCCCACATGGGACGACACTTTGTGTGATCCACAAATTGTTCTGAGTCTGGGTGTTCTTTGTGTTCTTTTCATGTGTTTGTACAGTCCCCCGCGATACAGGATATTTTCCTAATGCGGGAGTTTAGTGCAGTGGTAAAGAACCTGGTGGTATATATCGACTCGACACTTGACTGGCGGGCACAAGGAACATACCTGAGTTAGATAGTCACCACTTGTCTCCGCGCTTTATATCGTTTGAAGAACTTCCTTCCCGCTAAAACTAAGGCTACGCTTCTGCAGTCCTTAAGTATTCCCTTAATCGACTATGGTGATGTGTGTTATTTTGACCTGTATGCAGATCTTATCAGTAAGCTAGATCGCCTTCTCAATAACTGCATTCGATTCGTTTTCAATCTTCGTAAGTATGACCACGTGTCTGCTTTACGTTCCCAGCTGCAATGTCTCCCAATTCTTCAGCGCTGCAGTTTGCGAGCACTGACATCATCATCATCATCTTTTCTTTCCTCAACCCTCCATCCTTATCAGAATACCTCGTACCCCACTTCCTTTTCTTATGCTCCAATCATTGGAGCATAAGAAACGGAACATAACAACTTCGTTCAACAAACAATATGCTTCTTCTATGCCCCCCTCACACCGCCAACTTCATCAACTCCTCCTTCTACGTCCAGTCAGTTATTCTCTGGGATTCCGTCCCTGCTGAAATTAGGATATCCACAAACCGCCTTGCATTCAATAGAAAAGTGCGCAATCTTCTTCGGGTGAATTGGCAGAACAGTCACAACGCTAGTACCTGACTGAGTATTTATATATTTCATTAAATTTATGTAGGTTTATGTATGTGTGTTTATATATTGTGTATATCTCTGGACTTCAATTATGTTAAATTTCATATATATTTTTGCACCTACCACGTCATATCACCTGACTGACTGGAAGAAAATGCCTCATGGCATTAAGTCCGCCTTTGTACAACATGTGCATTAAGTTTTAAATAAAGAGACAGCTCTTCGTGAATAAATAGAAAAAAATCGGCATGACTATTTTATGTTTGATGAATATTGACAAAAGTTTTTTTTTGCATTTTGTTGTAATTTGGGTTTGAACATCAAAAGATCAAAATCGCAGAGCCTAACAGTAGTTCAGGGATTGAGCTCTTCCATTTTGATGCTCACAACAAATATTTATTCTATATTACGTACAAAAGATACATTTTATTAGACGTTGGATGTCAGTTGTGTACAGTAACGTGCGACCAAAATCGTGTTGGTTTTTCAGGTCTTGCTAGCGTTTTAAGAGTTTCTAAAACATGAATATTGCATTCTTAAAAAATATAAATGTTAAATATTCCTTAAACATAATTGTAATCGTTTCTAGCACAGATTACATTTCATAAACCTAAAAAATAAATAATTTTCTTACAGTGCCGATCTGGAAGCCCCGACGTAGGGTGCTCATTCCAACATTCGGAACTAAGAACATGAAGCATTTCTTGTGGATATTCAATAAACAGAGTAATGTGCTCACAGAGCAGCTAGATAAAGTGGCGGGCTCCGGAACTGTCTCCATTTGGAGGTACTACACCGCATACACCATGGACTCCATCGCTGGTAATTCAGAGTACACTAGGACGGTCCCGTTTGGATGAAGGTTACATTTACAGCACCTCGTGCATATTAAAGTTAGGTACTTAAATATGTACAGCTGCTGCTCTCTTATACTCTTACAAGGTCAAACTTATTGTCATTCTTGTCACAAAATCTACGACGGGAATGCATTGTGCCACTTGTTAGTACATGATTATTCTCCCGTTATATTCATACCAAGCAGTAATCAGTTACGTACCTTCACCTGAGTCGATCTCTATTAATCAATATTAGTGATCTTTCCCCTTAAATTTCCAGAAGCAACATTAGGGTACCAAATGCACGCCCAGACTAATTCAGGTCATCCGTTCCTGCAAGCCTTTCATACAGGCTTAGAACAGTGCGCGATACGACTTTGTTCGCCCTGGCTCCACAGTGATGTCGTGTATCACAATCTGCCTATTTATAAGAAATTGGTGGCAATGAAGAATTATATGTGGGGGTTCCTCAAAGAGGTAACCGCTTTTCTTAAAGAAAACATACATAAACTATTACAAATTAAATAGTTTCTATTCATGTTTTAGTTAATAGATACGAAACGAAAAGAAATGAAGAAAGCAGAAAAGAATAAACAAGAAACTAATGATTGTGGGTAATGTTTTGATTATTGTAATGTTGGACGGACGTTGTTAGATGACTCATCGGGTTATATTGAATGTAACTCTGACTTTCAGGTGATTCAAATGAAAGTATGACAACGTTTTTAGAATTGCTAATCAGATCGCCCGGAGCCGACGACGGTTACACTGATACTGAAGTTCTCGAAGAACTGATGGTCATAATGATTGCTGGCAATGACACGTCAGCAGTCGGTTCCTCTTTTGTAACATTGATGTTTGCGAGGCATCCGGACGTTCAAGAAAAAGTTTTGGAGGAGTAAGTTACAGAACTGCTTCAATATGATTTCCTCTCTTGCTTTAATAGTTATGCTAGCATGGTTCCAGTGCAGCATTTCGAACTCCTCTTTTATCTAGTCTGACCATTGTTAAGAAACTCCCACTTTTCAAAAAAGGCTATGATAAATGATATCTTCGCCTTGTGACGTGGCTAAAGTTAAATATCATGCGCTGGGAATAGGTTGTTATGGTGGTACGAGTAATATTATTTTTACAAAATTTACAATACATTTTTTGCTGACTTTACATTAGTAAAGTCAGCAAAAAATGTATGCGTATTTTGTTTAATAACAAATTATCTCCCTTATTTCCTTCAACTGGTTTAACTGTGACTGGGAACAACCTAACTGCATGATCTGTGCATTGAACGTTATCATTGTCTACCTAAATATAAGTAAGTAGCAACACTAAACATCAGACACGTTTTTTTTCTGATGTATTTCTATTTAAGTATGTACTGGGTTTTCCAGCGTGATTTCATTAGGTTATGGCAGTTTCTTTTCCAAAGAGATTTTGTAGAATGTATTGAAATATAGCCTTACTTTTTGCTTTCTTTATTAATTGCTTAAACAGGTGTAGGCATTAGAAACAATACACGGGTTGAGCCTCATTTAAGTAAAACTTGTTTACGTATAGTGTTAGTGGCTTGTTTACGAATGAATGGTACAAGTAACAACTTCCTGTTTATGTTGTATTGGTTTAATATTTTATATTTATTGTGTAACTTATTTATCGTGCATTAGGAACGTCCAGTTCACTAGTTATTTTAATTACATACATGGACATTAATTGCGATAGCAGATCAGTTCTATCAGGAATAGAGGACGACGCCCAAATTCTCATGATGATGGAAAGCGTAACAACAACAATAAGTAGGGACATATTAGTTCGTTGTGTTGCACATTACACACATATGCACATACAACCGTGGGAGAGACATGTTCCGGCATATTATAGCGCTCGACTGGAGTGATAACGAGTTTTTCCTAGCTTTTCACCGAGTGAGGTAACCGGAGCCCTTTTTTTTTACGTGTGGAAATCCCCTCGGACCGTCACCCCGCCGGGGCTCTCGTTCGGCGGGGCGGTGTGTCGGACTCGAACCGACTAAAACCACACGGTGTGCCCTCTTTGCGCTTCCAGTTTAGGAGGGGTTCAGGTAGTTATCGCCTTCTGGACCCCTCCCAGCGCCGGCCCGCTCCTGTTGCGGGCTCCGTCTCAAAATTTTCCTCTCTTTAGGCGACGTCCGGCACACGCGGACGCCGCCCCCTCGCGGCTGGCCAAACTAATGCGGGTGGAAGGGAGAACCCGTCCCGTCCACCCGCGGCCACACTCAGGGCGGCATGAGGCGCAGGTGAGCGCGCGGAGGGCGAGATCCGCCCTGACAGATCCGCGACATGCTTGCGCATAACGGGCGAATGTAGATCGGCACAGGCATATAATAAATTAGGTTTATTTTGCTAAATATGTGACAAAAATAGTTTTGGCATCGTGTGTTGAACTTTAGAGTCTACATAAGAGACGATTTCAAATATTATTATTTTTATGAATAAAGACATTTTGACTTTGACCTTGATGGTATTAGAATGTTAATGTTATGTGTTGTTTATGTTATTAGAAGATTGACAATTAACTCCAGTTAAAATGTTGAAATAATGTTTTGTACGTTTGTGATTGTAATTGTATCAGGTTGCAGCAAGTATTTGGAGAGTCAGACAGACCTGTGTCTTCAAAAGATCTGCCTCGTCTAAAATATTTGGATGCAGTTATTAAAGAAACTCTAAGGCTGTACCCGCCCGTACCCGTCACAACCAGAAAAATTGAAAAGGAAATAATCTTGCGTAAGTCTTAAATTACCAAAAATAAGTGTCATGAGCATATGATGCAGTAGGTACTCGGCCTACACGCTCTAACGAGAGGGTGTAGGGCGAGTAACAACGTGCAGGTAACAGGTGGTATGTGATACCTGTTAGGTGATCGCGTTAATTAATATCAACTTAATTAAAGAAAAGAATTTCGATTTCTAGCGTCGGGCATAAAACTTATCCCTGGCACTGGTGCCCTAATGAACATCTGGGCGATCCACCGCAACCCCCGCCATTGGGGCGACGATGCGGAACAATTCCGGCCGGAGCGGTTCCTCGACAGCCCACTAAAGCACCCTGCCGCCTTCATGCCGTTCAGTCACGGACCAAGGAACTGCGTCGGTAACCACTCTTTGTTGCTAACGTAATATAATACGATATACATGGGCAATGTCAATATGTTGTGAAGCCGGTTTAATCCGGATGCCGATCTTTCTGGTGACTACACTGGTGATAATTATATTTGAAGCCTTTCTTGGGTTTGCGTATTCAAATGCGTTACGTCGCGTTACGCAAGAGAAGGAGGACTTGCTCTTGCTACTCTACGCGAACAGAGTCACCCGCAGTCGTTTCTGGAACTGGTTTCTGACTTTGATGTCTTAGCTGCTCCTGCGGCTGAAGACCGTACTCGACGTAAGAGACTCTGTGGTGTTTGTTGATTCCAATCGAACACAACCACAACTCGGTGCTCTGGTACTTGCAAATTGCAGCTCAACAACATAACTTGCTTGTTACTAATGTAACACTTAAACATTTATAGTCGAATCTTAAACAGATTTTGGTATCTGATTGAACTCATTAAAGGCTCGTTAAAGGCCTTCTCTCTCTATGCCTCGTGCCTCTACGTTTACTTTTTGTTTTATAAGTACAAAACACGTAACCGTTCTATTTAAGATTTTCATTACAGGTTATCAATTTGCTATGACGTCAATGAAAACTGTACTCTCGAGTGTCCTCCGTCGCTACAAGATTCTCCCAGCGGAGCACTCGCCTCACTCACAGCCGTCGATCCGGCCCATACGACTGAAGTTCGATCTCATGATGAAAGACGTGGATGGGTTTCAAATACAACTGGAACACAGGAGTAAACAGCGACACTCGTACTGATATTGTATTCGTTTTCACGACATTGTAAACTAAATAATCATAGGCTATATTGAGATAATTAAATATTACCCACGACTAAGAACTTTCTACGACTTAAATCCAGCTATGAAACTGTTTGCCGCGAGTCAGTAAGTTAGATTGCACAGGAACTGCGTTTCTTTGAGACTGGAAGGATGACAACTGAGCTGAGGGTGTCCTGGGACGGCCCGAGCAGCACCAGTTAAGTTATTGAGTTTTCAGACCCAATTGCATCGTGGATACCCTAAAGTATGTTAACTTACTGAACTAGTACATAATTTTAAAATCAAAATACTCCGCCGTAGCAGATGTGATTTTGATGACCTATAGATACGAGTAGACCCCGTATTAACTGACTTCTTGTAAAACCAAGTGAAAGAACAACGGTCACATTAGACGTGTACCCTACTGCTCAACATTATACTTAAGTTCGTAGTAAGTTGAGTGTTAAACATGGATTATATTACTCATACAACAACTCAGACTAGTGGAGTTTGTACGATGGGCACAGAGCACTCAGCTGTCAGTGCACGTTAAGTACTTGTCGAGGAAACATGTCGTCGAGACGCCCCGTATAACACAACTTACTGTATCCAACAACTAGGCTTCTTTTAAAGCGGCTACATGGCTGGCAGACAGGCAGATAGATCAAACTCAAAGTAAGTTACATAATTATTATCACCTGACTGCACGAACGCAACACAGAGATGTTAGTGATAAAAAATTGTTAAGCGCTAGTTTCAAATGCACATCACATCAACAGCCTTTAACAGTCCACTGCTGGACATAAGCCTTTCCTTAGAAAGGAGGTTTTGGCCTACTATACCACGCTGGCCAGACGGGTTGGTATAGGGTTTGTGTCAAGTTTTCCTTCTCTCTGCAGTGCTGTTGTTCTGTGTAGTTTTTTCCCTTAGTCGGCTCTTACGACACCCAGGGGATGAATAGGGGTGGTGACACTCTGTATTCTTAATCTGTCACCATACGGTGACGGATGAAGCCTGATGCACACCAAGCCTGATTCACATTTTTAAAGTCCACACATCGTATATATTTGACTTTACTTATTTTATTTACATTTATCTAAACTAACGGAGTGGTTCCAAAATCAAGACCACTTCCAAATAGAGTCTCTTTTAAAATACCTCTCATGACCCCCCAAACACTCACGAACACACACACAGACACAACACACACACACACACACACACACACACACACATACACACACAACACACACACCCACACACACCCACACACATACACTCACACCATAAATATATCCACACAAATCGAATATATATATTATATATAATAGATTAAGAATTGTTTGCCTTAATGAAAGATCAATACTGCTGCCCAACCTGTTGTATAAGTCTTTTAGTGTAAACTGATAGCCGGACACTAGCTCTTAAAATACAGGAATACCTACTTTGAGAGATAGCGTTTATTATTTTTGGTACAGATTATAGCAACTAAGGACTAAGCACAATGCACTACTGTCAATTACCATCTAATCTGTTGTTATATCTGTATTTCTGGTAAATAAAGATTATTATTATTCCCTTTATTTCATTAAATATACATAAAAAATATATTTTTAAATATATTTATATCCAAAAACAAAAAAAAAAAAATGAAAATATAAAAAGTAGTGTCCCATCGGTATCGGGTACAGGGACCAAGATATCGGTGGTTAGGACTCCTGAGACAGAAATTTCCTCACAATACGTGCCGTATCGAGGAGAACTGCTTTCTGCATCAGGCCCTTAATCCAACTGCCTAACGCGAGCCTCTGAAGATGTTGCTCTTAGCAATTAATCCATGGCCCGATATGACTATCGGTACAACGATTGCCGAATCAACATCCCACATGTCGACAATCTCATGGGCCAAATCCAAATACTTTACTTGTTTTTCTTTTTGAGGTTTTAAGAGATTGTCGTCATGTGGAATGGTTATGTCAACAATCATTGCTCGGCGCTCTAATCGGTCTATTACCACTCTATCAGGTTTATTGGCAACAATAGTCCTGTCAGTGATAATAGGGCGATCCCAGTACAACGTTGCACGACCATTATCAAGAACTGGGTCGGGCACATATTTGTAATATGGAAACTCTACAGTTACAAGGTTATACTTGAGAGCAAGTTGCTGATGGACTATCCTGGCCACTTGGTTATGTCTATGCAAGTACTCACCGTTGGCAAGACGAGAAAAACCGACAATTATACATATGTCTAAGGCTTTCACCAGGACAATGACGTGCCCGACAAATGTATATTATGCCGTCCTTCAGGATATACTTCCGATAATTATTCGTCATAACAACTTTATCAGTAATTGCAAAGACAAAACCTTCAGTTTCCCCGAAAAGGTCACCGCATCGTAGCCAGAATACAGACGCTAGTTGGTCTAACTCAGGCCTGTTCAAGGCCCGATAAAAACGTACATGCAGCTCTTTGCCCTTCCATATCTCCTTACGATCAGTAATGTTGAGTATCGCAAATTTGCGCCAGTTCTCTTTACCTAGACCAAGCGGAGTCCTTTATCAACTGCTACTACATCCCATATAAATACATCCACATCAACAGACAGGAAGTAATTCCTGAGGTTAAATATCTCAAATTTGTGGAGGGTCTTAACATTTAGAAAACACGACCACCACATTTTCGTGGAATATAATATAACCTCATCACCGATGAACGTGGATGATGCAATCGGTACGCAGTAAGCAATGTACGAACTCTTCTATCCAGGGTATCTAGTTCATCTAAGTATGCCAAAAGAGTAGGTTAGAACTGGTGTGACCCAATCATTAGACTATTTTTTTGGATTGTTTCAAAATCAACTCATTTACACCTAACGCCTGTGACATACCCAGATACTTGTATGTGTCGTTAGCTGAGAGACAACTTAAGTGCGTGGAATCTGAGAGTTAAAACCTATCAGACTCCACAATCCTGCCTCTTTTTACATGCATGATTGCACACTTATCTACACCAAATTCCATCCTGATACATTTACTAAAGGTTTTAGTTATTTCTAGTAAATTTATCAGTACGGAATTACTGGAAGCAAATAGTTTTAAATCATCCATGTAAAGGGGGTGGGATATAACCTTACCACCTCTCTGCAAACGATAGCCTAGCCCTGAACCCTCCAACATAGTGCTGAGAGGATTCAAAGCCAAGCAAGCTACAAGGGACTTAAACTATCACCCTGAAATATACCCCGCTTAATCATTATATATTCGCCATCGCCTTGAGATTGCCGACATCCTGGATAGCAAAGAATGCATAATAGCATTATAGGATAGCAAAGCATTGCCGCATACATGTTTCCATAAAAGTGCATAGAGTTGTATCAATCTTGTACAACTCTATCACCCTCAATAGCCACGTATGCGGTACAGAGTCATAAGCCTTTTTATAATCTATCCAACATGTCGCCAGATCTTTTCGGTTACGGCGAACTTGTTGGTTAATAGTCATGTCAATAATAAGGAGCTCTTTAGTGCCACGTGCCCCTCCTCTTAATCCATTCTGAGAGAGAGACATAAAAGAGTTGTTCGTGATATGAGATGTTATCTTCACTCTCAGAATGGACGTTAGTAATTTATATAACGTCGGAAGACACGTTATTGGCCTATAATTTTTAGGATCCGTAGCACTACCAGATTTATAGACTAGGTGAGTTGCTCCCATAGTCATAAAAGATGGAGGCGACCCCGATTCTAGGCATGATTGAAAATGAGATGTAAAACGTACATGTGAGCTACGGAGCCACTTTAACCAAAGGTTAAGCAGTCCGTCCGGTCCCGCTGACTTCCAATTCGGTAGCGAACGAACTGTATAATCTATATCAATGTCTGAAATGCCCCCGGGCTATGCATTATTTGTTACGCCGATGACACGCTGGGTACAGCCCGGGGAGCGGAATTTCAAGAGGCCGTGCACCTAGCCACCAGGGGAATCTCTGTGGTGGTCGGGCGCATTGAGGCGCTGGGCTTACGGGTGCCCCTGGATAAGACTCTTGTTCCATGGGCCCCGTCGTGGTCCACCCCACGGCGCCTCCGTCGTGGTCGATTCGGTCCTCGTACCGGTTCAGGCCCAGATACTTCATACTCTAGATGATTCTGGATGGGAGATGGCTCTTCGACGAGCACTTCCGACAGCTTGCTCGAAAGCTGGTCGGCGCTGCATCTGCCCTAGGGCGACTTTTACCCAAAACACACGTTAAAAAAAAAGACAAGCGTTTGCAATGTCAGCGAATAAAAACATGTTTTTTACGACTTCACATTACAAATCTTTGAAATTCTCGGCTTTCCTCTACTATGATATGCATGTATTGTACAAATAAACCCGCCTCTTGAATCAATCTCTCTATTGATGAAAACCGCGTTGTTTAAGATCTAATTGTACAGGAACGGGAGCGCTTCATGTTATACTATGTAAAGATGACAGGTCAACTTTTTACTCGCATCAAATTTTCAATATAAAATATTTTGAAAACAACAACATTCTTAAAAAATGTATAAAAAGAATTCGGTTACTAATATTTTATTAGAAATCAAAAATTATACATCAGTAATACAACAATTTAAGAATACGATACTGGTAAGGGTGATCCGCTCTGTCGCCGTTCGACAGAGAGAGATACCTGGCAATTCCTCAGTGCACCTGCTTCTTGTCAGATATTAGATTATGTGTAAGGTTTTTTCGGTCGCGGCCTGCCGTTATCTTACAATACAGAGGGCCTAGTGTGAGTTTATTTCACATCAACTCGCTCTCAACGGCGAGCTCGGGTTCATGTGACATAAACTCACACTAGGCGCTCAGATCACACTGTGCCCTAATGCTTGTGACTATAGGTCTAATCCCGTACACGTTGCCTGTCACAGAATGTGGCGGAGGCGCTAGACAAGACAGCCAAGGATCGCACTTGCGTTCTGATAGCACAGAATGTATTAAAAATACATTCTGTGCTGCGCAATATGACACAAAGCTACATTGGCTTACAATTTTACGTGCGAGAGATGAGTATCTGCGTCAGGTTTTTATATGCTTGTGTAGTATTAGGTTTATTATTAAGTCTAACTAACATAGATCATAGTAATAAATACCTGACAATATTTTTAAGTTAAAAAAAATCTGCAAAATTGTTTGTCCCCGTTGGCCCGAAAACTTTGAACTGCTCACGGTTATGGTGATAATAATATTAGTATGGTGTTCTTCTTTGCTTTTAGGTACAATTGCTGAGAAGGAAAGCCATTTGGAGCTGATTAAGCTACAAAGACTATATTACGAGAGCACATCTCGTAGCAATGAATAACATGTTATTTAACCAATTCTTATGACGAACATTATTGGCTTGTATTTCTTTATCTAATTAAAAGTAACACTGAACGAAAGAACTATTGTGACAGTAATAATATTTACCAAAAATTGTTCATCTTGCTAATAAAAAAAATGGTAGTAATAAAATAGTTGTTAACAGAAGTACATATTTATTCGTATAAAATATTAGTCGAGACCTCCTTTCTAAAGTGAAGCCTATGTCCAGCAGTGAACTACTCAAGGCTGTTGATGATTAGTCGAGACCATTACATTACATACATATACAATTTAGTAATGCATTGTCGTTAAGCGACATATTTACTTGCGGCAGTTATTACCGACACACGTAAAAGTGAACACGACCAAATGGCGAATAACACATCAGTAGGCGATTTCGGTCCTTATCGCTTTGTTTGTCTTTTCTTTGGATATCATTCTGGTCCAAAGCTGGACAAGTGGCGTATCGTACACACTCTGACTCTAGTGATACTCATAAGTTCTTGTATTTATTTAACCGAGCCGCCAGCTTTAACGATGGGCGTCTGCGTGGAGTACATGCTGTACATCACCATATCCATGAAGCTTCGAGATAGGCACTTGCATCAATTCTACCGGCCAATACCAGCTATTGACTCGTTGCCACACGCAAAAGCCATCTACAGCAACATCAGAAAGCATCAAATAATCGCTCTTTGCGTGTGGATGGCGTACAGGAGTGTAAGCGCTGTGATTGTCATCGGCCAGTCCATTGTCACCGTTGAATTCTGGTCCAAAACTAATTTCGCCCATATATTGATGGTATTGGCCTTTTTGGGAGTGGATGTCAATCAAATGTCTACTGTAATGATTTTCTATCTATTATATATGCGGGTGATTATTATTAGAAAAACGATCCAAAGTAATGGCTTCGATCAAAATCCGATTATGGCGTTTTCACCACGAAAATACATTCAGATGTATGAACTTTTGTTAGATTCTCTTTACAAACACGAACTGATATTAAAAGTAATGGTGAGTTACCTAACAAAAATACTTCATTCACAAAAAATGTGAGCCTTGCAGTGTTCGCAAATGATGTGTAATATCTGACGTCTCACTTATAACCTGACGGCCATGGATAATGAAGGGAAGAGATGTCCCGCCACCGACTAGAAAACCCGGCGACAGAGTAATGTAACATCACTCTTTGAGGAACTTTCTGTGTCATGCTCAGCATTAAATGTGTACGGTTGATGAGAAGCCGTAGTTCAATAATTCAAATTATAATATTTAATAATAGATCTGACACACAACGCCATCTAGTTTCAAACTCATCAAAGCTTGTACTATGAAAACTAGATTGACTTATAGAATTATTATATCTTTTTTTTTAATACACATATTATACATAGAAAACACCCAAACTCCGAAACAAACATTTGGCCCGACCCGGGTATCGATCGCGAGACATCAGCACAGCAGTCGCATACGCTACCACTGCACCACCGAAGCAGTCAAATGCAAACGTAAATAGAGTGGTGTAAATTTTATTTCGTTACAGACCGTGATCTTCCTGTGCACCACCACGTACAGACTACAACTACTGATATTTGTTGTGATCTCTTTGCTGAAAGTCGTGGTGAGTACTGTGCGAATGTAAACGAACAAAGCTTAAAAACATTTGAAAATAAAACGTGTTTTCAGCCTCCATTTATTGTTCAATTTACTCCATGTCAGTCCATGAATGGCTTTTAAAATCGGGATGTTCATTGCCCAGGACACACTTACACTTACTTTAGTCAAAACTAATGAATTTAAGGAGAACAACAGAAACATAACCTTATAATCGTTTCTTATTTTGTGTCTACATCGTGAATTGAATGTTTGTTGTAGTGGTAGTACAGTAACTAAATTAACGTTTTATTTCCAGAGTTTCGTATTTCTGCCGCTGTTAATGATATTTAGACTTACCATGCCCTACGTTCCCTTCATCTGCAGTGTAGTACTGTTGGACCTGGTTCGCGACGAGCTGGAGCGTATCAATATGTTAACTATTCAAGCGTATATACAGTGTAAAAGTGAGTATCTAGTAACATCATTATTAGAAAGCTGAGAAGCCAAAGCCGAGGCTTCACACTCGTACAGTGAACATCACCTATTAGAGTTATTTTTAACCGACTTCAAAAAGAAGGACATTCTATGTTCCACTGCATGTATGTTTTTTATGTATGATCACCGCTTACTCCGATTGTGAAAAAAATTCAAAAAAAATTTTTTTTAGAAAGGGTATAGTCCTGAGGTAGTCCCATTGTCACAAAGTCAGGATCTGATGAGGGGTTCCAAGGAAATCCAGGGCCACCTTCAAATATTATAGACACGTATCATGTGTTTCATATATTTTCTAAAGCTATTCTAATATTTGCGTCTGGTAGTCATCATCTCCTTAACGGTTCGGAGTTGGAGGATAATTCTTTACATAACATATGTATGTATAGACCTATAAATGTAGTCTTTCAAGTTATTCAGTCAAGTTATTTCTGCCATACATACTTTAGATGTACAAATTTAGTTTGAACAAGACAACATTGTTGTTACTGGGATTCCTTGGTAACTGAAGTAAACGATGATATGCAGACGAACGCTGGCGTTCGGAGATACAGCAGCTGCGCCAGGTGCTGGTGAGCCACCCGCTGCAGTACACGCTGTGGCGCATCGTGCCTCTGTCGCTCTACCCCGTGCTGACCACGCTCTCCTTCTGGATCGTCACCAGCATGGGCATCGTACAAATTAGCTTTCATTAATTATGTCTGCTACTGCAGTGTCTATATAGAGCAAGTGTGTCTTATAATATGTTGTTAAAGCTATTTATATTTGACTATTTTGTGAAAAATAATTTCATCCAGAAACAGGACAAAATAGAGGTATTAACACACAATTATTTATTTATTTATTCTTAATCAAAACGGCCTCTGGCCACTTGCACTGATCAAGAGCAAAAACGTAACCAAACTACAGCAAATTATATTTCTATGTTCAAGAAATATTGATTTATCACAATTTTGTAAATAAACCGAACACCGATAGTGCTTTACAGTTTGGTGTGATATTTTTTATATCGCACAGGCAACAATTTTTAAGCAAACACCTCAATTTATGATTTCAACTTTCAAAGCACTGCTAATGAAACTATCGTCATATAATTCACCAAACGATGAAGGATAAAACGTGTTATGGACGTTTTCTTCAAGAAACTTCTCAGGAAAAGTATGTACAGTTGATGCGCATTTGGTTGGTGGCAATTTTTTAACCATTGCATCATTACAGCTGTGGACTCAAATATGTTGTATGGTCTAGGGCATCGTCCAAGAATAGGAAAACACAATACTCGACAAACGAAGAGCGTATCTTTTCTAGGTTATGTGTTTGGACGGACACAACAATAGACATGTCAATGTTAATTAATGTCGGTCGCTAATGATAAACTGCAGTAATTGTTCATTGACAATGTCGGATTAGGCGCTTGGATCAATGGACGGCTGCAGAAGCAATAGGCTAGTTGACTCAATTTGAAAACTTGGTTAATTATATACTTTAATATCTATTTTATCCCAAAAAACCTATATTTTAAAGAAAAAGCAATACGTATTTTGTATTTAAAAAAAGGATTTAAATTTCCCTTGAAAACGCTGAATAGTAAAGCGCGTCTTGAAAGACGTCACAGTCTGCGAAACAAAACTGTTTACATCTGTATCCAGTGTCAACTGAAACTGTATTAAGGTGAGAACGAAAAACAATAACGAGTAACCTGTTTTGTTGTAACAACAATGCTGTTTTACGTGGCGTGACGTAACAATTTCTGATTGGTGTTCGCTATTTGTTCGTTTTTTTTAAATATTAATAATCTTCAACTTTTATGAGAAATGACCTGGTTTTTTTCTTATCTATGTCTCTTCATTTATAATTTGAAACTATAAACCAAGCAATTTGTTATGAGTGGAGACAAGCCTATTCTTATGACACTGTAAAGAGCTTCAGATCTTTGGAGCCCTAACCATCAGTGTTTTGATTCCTGTATCCGGTGGATGTAATTATAAGGATTTAAAATGAATAAACATAACGGTAATAAATCGTAGTATCGTTCCACAATAAGAAAATATGAAGAACGAACAATACACAAACTTAGTTATTAGAAATAATATGCTAAACTGCGAATAATAATTATTTGAGCAGCAAGGAATTAATGTCTTGTAGTTAAAGTAACCTAACCAACGAACGAATACGAAAACGAATACGATAGGAACGAAGTTGTGACGATCGAGTAAAACTGATTTGACACGATTTTAATTACAACGCCATCTATGAAAGCGGCTATTACCTACATATTAAAAACAATTAATACATTGGTAAAATCTCCTTGCGAAATGATTTCCTATCTATTCGATAGATGGCGCTGAATGTCTGACAAGATGACACGAAAATAAAGAGCAAAAAGCCAACATCACGTGGTATTCCAAGGCGGTCACCCATCCAAGTACTAACCACGCCCGATGTTGCTTAACTTCGGTGATCGGACGAGAACCGGTGTATTCAACATGGTATGGACGTTGGCGAACGTTAAAGCAAATTTAATGTATGGTATCCACAGTTAGACGTCAATTTATATTAAAAGTGTCGTGACAAATTTTCGTACGAATTTTTTCCGTCTAGCCCCCTTTCACAACGCGCGATAAGGAACTTCGTTCCAAAAACAAAATGTAAATTAATTGATCAGTTCACCGCGCATCGTTCGCCGTGGGCAGTGCTTTACCGTGATGTTTCACTTGACGTGTGCACTTGGCTGTAGACGCCAGATCACAGGACACAGATTGGCTGTTACGAATATTGTTTTCCCTGTAGCTTGTACGAGCTGAGAGGTATCTTCTGTTATTATTGACTACTCAGATGGAAGCACTTCCGACTTAAAAGTTATTTCTGTTTTTGCTGCTACAGCTTCTATAACTTCTGGACCTACTTTTAATGATGTTGCTGCAGTTTCTGAGTTTGCTGCCTAAGCATTGGTACAAAACTAAACGATCAGCGCTGTTGTTGGCCCAGTACTTGTAGGTACTGGAAATTCTTAAACGACGCTATAATATTACTATACAATACATCCGTGAAAAGTCCTTGTTATACGTAAGCAAACCGCGTGATAGGTTTAGAATTTGATATAGTATTGAGAAATCACTTTATTATACACCAGGTTACAACTACAACAAAAATTAACTTAATACTAGATGAGATAAGTAGTTACAAGTGGCGGACTTATCGCTCAGTGGCTTCAATCAACAATGTTGTATTGTTGATCGAAGCTCAGAGGCCAACTCTTACAGGCAACCGTGGGAAACAAAGAAAACATGATCGGGAAAGATATAGAATTGTAGTGTCTGGTATATTAGGACTTACTTAAGAAGAGGCAATTTAAGTAATATATATTGAATTGTGTTATAAAATATATAAGTAATAGCTATACACATATCGTATGTTAGGGTTATTAGCATTACCATCTCTGTTCCAGCCATATATAGAACATTATTTTAAATATCAACTGCAAAACGCTTTAATTTCTTTCCCATTGCGCCCTAACCCTTCTATTCCCTTACTTAAAATCTGGTTGTGCATTCGACCTTACAAAGTTTAAACCTATTTCATTACTACCAAATTAATTTAATGATTATTATTTTAAACACCAGTTTTGTTAATAATAATTATCATTATCAGTGAATGTGTCGCTTCTAAAGCTTTATCACGACTCGTTTCCGGACGCCGATTCTGTTACACATTACATATGAGTACAACAATCATTCTGAGCGGTCCGAAATAAGATAGCGGCTTAGTGCTTTTACTCGTAAGTCGATTATAAATGTGCTTAAATATCTTGTCATAATCTGTTCCGTTGAAAGTGTTAATAAGTATACGCGGGTTCGTTCTCTTGTGAAGTGTATTTGTATGTGTCACGAAACAGAACCTCTCGTCGGTAATCGGTGGTGACTTTACGCTACGTTAGGTTTGAATGCTTTCCAAAACCCGTAAAGTGTCTCCACGATTATTTTCATAAAGGAATTTTAAACGAATTACGACACTGCCATACTACAATTAATTAATTAATTTAGACTACAATATACACTTTTGTACATCGGTGGGCTTAATACCTAAGAAGTTCTCTTCCAGTCAACCTTTGGCTGATGTAGAAATCTTGTAAGGTAGGTGCACAGAGGTTACTTATTATGTAGTCAATAAAAATATACACGGTTCACTACATACATAAATCTATACATACACAAATATACAACAAAAAACACTTAATAATACTTAAAGACAAATCCGAAGGCAAATGATACTGAATAAGAATAAAATTAGCAGGTGAAGTGGTTTTGAGAGATAATACAGTGACACAAACATCCTTACAACCTTTGGAGTGCTACAATTATCTAGAAATACGTTAGTAGCTGCACAGACTGTCTGAGCTGTCTCTGACAATCATACTTGCACATGCCTTTATGACGGACTTCGATCTGAACACAACGCGGCATATTTAAATTGTTGAGTCAAATATGTTAAAACATTAATGTATTTTATTTAACTTCAAAGTTTTGCAACATCATTAAATTGATGAAATAATCGTCGTGACACACTGACGTGTCTAATTAGTGTACTTATTATCGTAATCGATAGTTGTTTGGCTACACTGTTATCATCCTTAATAGAAAAAAATTAAAATTGTATCTACTGGTGTAGATCAGTACATTCCTGCTGGTCTGTGTCTGAATCCTGCAGATATGGTGTTTATATCTTATTTACTTGATGAGAAAAGCATATGGGGCCCGCAGGGTGTACGTGACGCCACTGGGGACAATCACCGGCAACACCGTCTCACATAATATGTTTTATAGGACAATGGTACTTTGACAAATATATTTTATGTAAATGTGGTGAATATACGTGTATAACAGTTTGTATGGGAGCAACGAGAGTGCGATGTATTCAGGCCGACGCTGTTTTATAACATTCCTGCTTGGAGTGATCGTCGGCGTCAGTTTGGGAGTCATCATCTGCGATGTATCGTATTATACTCCGGGCACTTTTTACCAACGGTACCTGTAAGTATACATTCAGCTCCTTATTACCGTTTTTAAACAATTACTATAGTAGCAGCAATGGTAAACGGTAAGCCGACTGAAATAAACGTGCTTACTCTATTTTTATATGTATATAGCGTACCTATACTCAGTGAATCACGGGGATCATTACTAATTAGAAATCAATAGATATGTGTTTCTCCATGACAAACTCATACTAAAACTGTGACATTCTTTTTATTTCATTTGTAGATATTCCGAAAACCATTACAAAACTGTGTTGTAGACTTGTAGCTAACAGAAATTTATAACAGTTCCTATAATTAAGACAGTAAGGTTTGTTTTGTTCCACCGACCACTAGGCAATTAGCAGGCTGCTCATTCCACCGTCTACATTATATGTTACAGAGGTGTTTTTCTCTCTGCTTCTTAAAAGCCAGACTCTTTTACTTATTAATTTATTTAAATAAGTTACTTAGGCATTCAAATTTTATTGTCAGTGATCTACACAATTCGGATACAGATCCAATAATATCAGAGGTTGAGAAAAGCAGTAATGAGCATGCACACACGAGTGAAGACAGAACGGTAGCTGATCAACTCTCCGCCAAGGTGAGGGTGTTGTGTTGGGTGATGACCCGACCTAGCATGCACGAGAAGAAAGCGAAGCACGTGAAGGCGACGTGGGGGAAGAGATGCAACAAATTACTTTTCATGAGTTCTATTGAAGGTAAGCCAAGGTTCAGTTATTGTATCGTCATGCACCCGCCGGCTTCTGTTAGATAAAAGTAGTATAGTTGTGGCATTATTAAGTAATAGATCTTTACCTATGAAGTTGGAGTTTTTAAAACCATCATTTTCAGATTTAACTATCTGTCGATTGGCGCGCAATTCAAAATCAAATACTATTTATTCGAAAACCATGTTATTTTATTTTAAAATTCAGTCGTTTGTTGTCACTGAAAATTAGTATAATTTTGGAATATGATTTCCTACCTGGAAATACCGCTGCGCAAACAACACGAAACTTTAACGACGTGTATGGGCCTAACACTGCTTCCATAAACACAATCAATATTATTTGTTCAATCGTTTTAGATATGGACATTTTAAGTTGAAGACGAGCCTAAATTACTTTTTTTAAATAGGCAGGAGGCAAACAAGCAGACGGTTTACTCGATGGTAAGTGACTAATAATGGACCCTTTAGTTTATGCAACAATAGTACTTTAAAGTAATACAGCAAGTGTTTTAATCACGCACGCATCACTAATAGTGTGAATGTTTCAAGACAATTATATTAAGAGAATGAATGAGTTTGAAACTTTGTCCGCTCACGCTAGATAAGAGCTTGCCGTCAGTCAAGTTGCCGGTGAGTGAAGGCAGGAACCACCTGTGGGCGAAGACGAAGGCGGCCTTCCGTTACGTGTACGAGCACCACAGGAGGGACGCCGACTGGTTCCTCAAGGCTGACGACGATACGTACGTGTCTATAATGTCTTAAACAGTCATTTCAGCAAAAGAAAAGTCATTTAATATCTGCATCTGCTTGACTCCACCAAGACGATACATGAGCTTATTATCTACTCTATTAGGAAGAACTTCTATTGACCTGCCCCTACAAAATGTAAGTAAAAATATAAATAGTAAATAGTCGATGGGAACATAATCTACATAGTTATCACTTGAACGCGATGCGCCCTGCTCACTGACCTCTAACTTACTCGCATGTCATATCGCAATGATTCCAACAGTGGTGTTGTGTGATGTGACTCAAAGACGCATAGCCGTGTCCCAAAATACATGCAAGATTTGATTACTTGCTTACTTACTTTTACGGTTACTTCGCATTAGAATTAGTCTGTAAGGATATTAAGAAAAATGTAAATAATGTAAATATGTATTTGTTGTTTTCTACATATACGATCTCATGTGTCTTGATGAGGCCATCAAGATACATGCGGTCGTATGTCAAGGGGGGATCAAAATATTATTGGCTGATGTGAAAAGGCGTAGAAGTTTTATTACAAGTAAAAGCAGTGTAATTTTGCATGGTTAAAAACGTTTTTGAGTTCGCTTAAAGAAATAAAGCATTTTTACTTGGGCGTACCTCAATACTTGAGACCTAGCTCGTATTAATAGTGAAAAAGCTTCTCAGTAATCTCCAGTTAAATACATTTTTGTTCTAGATATGTTATAGTGGAGAACTTGAGGTACATGTTGGCTGACTACAACAGCAGTGACGCTTTGTACTTCGGCTGTAGATTCAAGCCCTTCACGCCTCAAGTAAGATCATTCATTATTATTTATGAGCTATGAACAGAATTCAGCCATATTTAAAGGAGATAATAATGAAAGATGAAACAAATGACATGACATTTACTGTCCATGATCAACTCTGACAAAAGTAGTCAAGAAACTTTCCTATACGAAAAGTATTTCTATCGTCTCTGTTTGTCTCGCACAAAGTTCAGCGTGAGCCTATGAATGTCTAGGTCTACAAGATTGTTATAGGATCTTAATTAATTCAAAGCTATATATTTACATAGATAATACCAATGTTTTACAGGGTTTCATGAGCGGAGGAGCAGGTTACGTTCTAAGCAGGAAGGCGTTGGATATGTTCGTAAACAAAGGGTTGCCATCACCAAAAACGTGTCGAGTTGACGACGGGGGCGCAGAAGATGTCGAAATGGGTAGGTATTGACGTGTGTACCATTGTCTGACTACTGTGCCAGTGACTAGTTGCTTCACCATTTGACTAAGAGCCCCGGTTCGGCTCAAAACCACAACACAACACAACACAACAAAGACAGGCAGACAAAGTGATTGCAGTTCGACATTATCATTAAAGTTAGCAGAACTAAGAAAAATAAAGTTAACTAAGCAGATAAATTCCTCCTCGTGGCTAAAGGTAAAGTTATTGTTGTTCAAGAGGTTCCATTTCAGTATCAATGTAAGTGATTCACATTTGCAGGCAAGTGCCTAGACAAGCTGGGCGTCAAAGCGATGGATACGCGCGACGAGTCGAGACGCGGCCGCTTCTTCCCCTACATGCCACACAAGCATTTAATACCTTTCAAAGACAAAAACTTCTGGTATTGGAAGTACATATACTACCCCACCGATGAGGTGAGCTCTTCTTATTTCATTGTTTCTTTTCTGGCTAATTTTTGTTCTTAATCTCTGTTTGAAGACATAATTAATACAAAACCCAAATAATCAATATATGTATATGTGAAATAGGATGTAATATACTGTTAAATGGTTTGCTTTTAATTTTCATGTTGTAATTGTGTGTTAAATGTTTGTTGTGAACATTTCAGGGTCTGGATTGCTGTTCCGATCACGCCGTATCGTTCCACTACGTGAAGCCTACAGAGCTGTACCTGCTGGACTATCTCATATACCATCTACGTCCGTACGGCATTCAACGTGGCTCCGGCGTCCTCCCCAAAATACTCACAAATGATATTAAAGACATTACTTAGTTGTACTAGACACACACTAGTTCTGTGACGTTGCAGAATTTAAGATATAATTAGATAATAAATTTATTTGGCATCCAAATTAAATGATGTTTAAATTTCTGGGTCCGAAAAAAATGACAAGAGCACAGTTCTACATAAATATAAGAATATATGTATAAAACTTAAGACGGTAAACAAGTGATATACGTATTTGTAATCCAATCTTCACGTAAGTCTGCGCCCCAAGTACAAAATACAAACAAAGTTAAACTAAATATAAGCCGTAGGAGATAGATTTTCGAGGATGGAAGCTACGATACCTTCAAAGTCTTGGTTGCAAACACACAGGAAATTACAGCACCTTTCTATCTATACACCTACATTTTATACCTAGGTTTAAAAGCAACAGGACAGTCACTCAATAATCGTCATGAAATTTTGGAAATTACTTTATCTATGGACATACATTCGACAAGGAAACTGTTAATGAATACGTTAAAACGGATTGTGACGATCTCCGGCCGAGTTCAACCTAAATAGCTCAGGAGCTTTAGCTTTTTGCGGTTTGAGAGCCTAACATTATGATCATTTTGATGTTTTATTATCAAATGTTTGACGATTCCATAACCAAAAATTATAACTCTGCCAGTAGACTGATAATTTACGAATACTGACTCATAGAAATAAATCAAACATAAATTGTTTTTCTTTTTCCCCATTTCCAACAATTTGTGGATCACACAAAGTGTCATCCCATGTGGGGATCCAACCCACAACACGCAGCGTAGTAGTAAGCGGCGTGGCGACCGCTTAAACCACTACACCATCCGTGCAGCCAAATCTAGTCAAAATATTCATCTGTTTAAATAAAAATGTTCAGTTGGTTTGTGTACGCTTCAAAAACTCCAACATTTCTGCACCGACTGAGCTCAAATATTGACACGATATACAAACCGCTTCAAAGTTTATTTTTTTCTATTTTTCGCGTGAATTTTGTTTGTCATTAGTTATCAATGCATTTTAATGTGACAATTTCACAAAGACATAAAATCAACGATAATTGAATTTTAACATACGCAATTAAACATTACAAATTATAATAAAAAACGATAGTAGAACTAATAAAAGTCCCGATTATTGTCCTACACAGTTATTATACATTAATACATTGAAAGTAAAGAAAATGAACACAATTAAATCGGTGAAATTCCAGTAATATTTGATCATAAACTAAATTATAATGACTACTGTTAAAGAAAATTAGCATACGGAGATACCTAGAAAATTGTTTACATAAAAGTCTACAGCACTTGAGCACACAGTGACGCTGCAGCTGGTCGAAACGTATGCGTTATTATCTACGTAATTAGGCAGCAATATAGCAACAACACTTACATAAGTGTCACACGACAAATCGATACTATCGAACTATCAAACATTACAACCAACAGAAACTAAAATCTGTAGAACAACAGGCCTCATCACGTCGTTGAACCGGGTTTGTACAACTAATTACCAACTAGCCTATCGTTATTTACTAACATACCAGTTATATTTATAGGCATTTCCCTTGAAGATGTGTAAAACACCTGTCTATTGTGTCAATAATTCTTTGCTAGTACCTTGGAAGGTGGTTTTCGTACTGTAATGTTGAGCAATGTAGGAATTTAATTTTAATTGTATGTGGGTTAACTCAACGTTTTGGTTCTGCGGCGAGCGCGTCGACGATGCCGAAATTGCGGCAGCAAGTGCGTCGACATTTGAAACCGTGTCCAATTTAATTAGCACCTGACAAAATAATACATATTTGTTTTACAGAGATAATACGTTTATGAATTACCGCAATTTCAAGCAAAGCGAAAAACATTTCGTTGATAAATAATTTTAGGCTCACAAGTGCTCTGACTGTCGAACTCTCGACATGGTCACACGCAACTTCATAGCGGCTCTTTTCGTCATCGTGGTCAGTAAACGTACAACTGTCTATTCAGTGTCTGTGTATCTAGTTAACAAAAATCAACACACAGTGAGTGGCTCTGTGTTCACGTGCGTTTGTCTATTCGATAAACGTCTGAGACATATTGTTAGTTAGACATACGTTAGTTGTATGTTCCGGTGAGGTTTAGAAAAGATACAACTTCGAAAATATATCTATACACAAACTTAAATAACCTTGTCTACAATTGTGTATACCTAGACATATACAAGAATACAAATTGTGTTTTACAAATTGTTCGTGTGCACCCAGTACGAAGAAAATAACAGGAGCATGTATCTAATCTGTTGTGTACGGGAGCCACCGCAATGTTAGCAGTGTATTAAGGGGAGATTCAACTGCCTAAACAACTAGCCAGTACTTTGCGTATACATTAAGAAAACAGTACATAAAAGTGTTTAAAAAAAACTTTTTTTGCAGGTGGCATTTCGTGTCGCTAAGCTTGAACCTGTAGGTAAGTAATATTTGTCGTACACCTTAATAATAAAAGTTTTTTGTGTTAAAATCGTATTTACTACTTATATGCCGGCGAGTATGCCTAAAATGATTTAGGATCGTTGTAGATAAAATACGGCAATATCAATGCAATATCAGCAGTGAAGGTGAACCAGGTTGTAAAAACTCACGTCCCATCTTTTTCAACTGTCATAGATTACATTCTTACCTAGTTTAGTTGAAATAAATTCACTAAGGGACTTCTAAATTCTCTATATGTTCTTCTACATATCAAACTATCTCTTATTCACAGATATCATACTTGGCAGACGCAATGTCATAATTCCACAGAATGGTCACGTCAAAGTGAAGCGCTTTAAGCCTGAAGAATTTGAACAACTGAAAATGAACATCCCCGATCTGGTGGAACTGGTTGCAAAAGTGCAAGGTCGTCCACCGCCACCAGGCCAATCAATGCCACCACCACGCCATTCTTTACCGCCAGACCCTTACCAGCCGGCTCCACAATACCAACCACATTATCCTAGTCCCTCATATCGACATCATCCCCAACATCAAGTTCCAAACTTTTCAGAAGCTCACCTAATAAGAAATTATCGGAACCAACCACCAATAAATCCACATTTTTCAGAGTTCCCTAAACAGGAAAATCATTCTGAACAAATGTTACTACGGCAATATCATCCCTTACCATACTATGAATACACACAACCAATCAACCGCCCGGAGGAAGCAGTTCGGGGCGGCACTCAGTACTATCCATCGGTACATACACCGAACCATAGTCACACCAGACCACAAGTAGCAAGAACAGAGAATAACTTCCCTAAAATTGCGCATACTAGAGAACCTGACTTACAAACTAAAACTATCAATGGAATTCACACATACAAAGAAGATATTCCAAGAAGGCAATCACCAACTTTCCATCTCACCGACAGACGGATACACAAAGATAAAAAAAATAATCTTTCAACTAAAGAAAGCAACAATCATCAAGAGTATATCGCATTTCATGGAAACCATTACGAGTTACCACCACACATATCCACGTGGTTACATGACCACGAAATTCTAGAACACATTCAATCTGAGAAGCCAGCTTCACGGAGTAAAACACGTTCTAAGAATCCATCGCCTTCCCACGGACCACGGCAGACATTTGTCTATAGAGGTATGTAATTGTTTATGTTACACTTCATCATAAATACTTACCTACATAATGTCTGTACTTGTTAACACTAACCATCAGTTTTTATTTTGCAATTAAGTAAAACAAGTAAAATTAGGTTATAATTATAGTTTAAAACTATTTTCTAAATATACGTCTTCTATCGGCATCAGTCATTTGTGAAACAATATTTATTTTAAACGTTTAGGTTTTGTGATATTACATTTCTGTCTGAGTACTCTTAGTAGAATAATATAAGTCATTGATGGTTTAAAAGTAGCACTCATTTAATTACCTAACAAATGTAACAAATCGATATATTTAGCTCTCCATTCTTGAAAGTTAATCCGTAGAGTAGAAATTTTTCAGATTTAATGTTAAGAGTGAATTGAAACATAACTGTTACGATTACATAACATTTATCTCTTAATAATCTAAATAAAATAATATTGAAAGCGTAGAAAGATACATCACATCAACAGCCTTTAATAGTCCACTGTTGGACATAGGCCTCTCCTTAGAAAGAAGGTTTTGGCCTACTATACCACGCTGGCCAGACGGGTTGGTATAGGGTTTGTGTCAAGTTTTCCTTCTCTTTGCAGTGCTGGTGTCCTGCGTTGTTTTGCGCCCTTAGTCGCCTCTTACGACACCCACGGGATGAATTGGGGTAATGACATTCCGTATTCTTAATCCGTCACTACACAGTACAGTACAGTAGTAAATTGGGAAGTACTCGTAAATAAATCTTAACATAAAATTAGCTGACATTATTATTTGTACACAGACACACCAACCCATATGAGTAGAAGCACTATACTTGAACTTACAGAAGCACCAAAGCTGGACAAAGCATCTATATTGATGAGGAAAAAAGTAACTCCTCACCTCACAACAATGTTTAAGGACGATAATATTACTTCATATCTCAAATATACAGTAAAAAAGAATGGAGTTACTTCTCAGCCTACGTCCCTATCCGTCCGTCCATACGGGGAAAATATTGAAACTTTACGTTCTACAACAACATTAAAGGAACATGAAATAAATGCACACCCTGCAGGAACTACAACGGCTGATGTAAAGAATAATGCAATTGAGTATCATAGTACCTTAGCATCAAAACAAGATGTATTGATTCCAAGCACCTCATCGGTAGTGTCAAAGAATTTAAAGGAAGTCTATACCACGCCGCACTCAGAATTAACCACTATGAATTTAAACTTCCTTTCACACTTAGGAGATATCTTGGAATCAAAATCCAAAACACCGAAATCAGACGATCAAAGAACAGATGCACATACACATTTATCATACATACAAGATGCAGCAGTTAAATCTCAGAAAATATATACAGACATAAAAACGAATGCTCCGGTGCTAATCGATAATAAGAAAACACTTATACTAGATACGACAAGAAACATTGAGACATTTTCTCCTGAACATGATACAGTACCCGTACCAAAAGATGCGCCAGAAGAATTTATAACAACGCAACCACAAATTTCACAACAGAAAACAAACGTCCAAATTATATCTTCACCCAAACATGACAAGACAACAAACTCTCAAGAAACGCTTTCTTCTATGGAAACGGTTGTACCTGTATCAATTACATCAGAAGGATTTCGAATAAGAGAGCTAAAAACGGTCATCCCACCTATATCTTCCACTGAGCATGAGATAGCGGCCAATACTCAAGAAAAATATACTAGTTCCGAACTAGATACAACAGATAAACTTACAGAAAATATAAAAGAACCACGTGTGGAAGACTCAACAACTGTCATCCTGACATCATCTTTCTTTGAAAATAATATAGCAGCCAATACTTCTCAAATATATAATCCAGAAATATTATATGCACAAGATCTCCATACCGATGTTCCAGTTACTATGTCTCCTGAACGTGGCAGAAATTCAAAGATTAAAAAAATCGTCACAGCTTCAAATGTCGAAGAAAGCGTCACCCATATTGTAATGAATGCGAGCGCACAAGATATACGAACAGAACCGCTTGTAAGAGATTCAACAACAGCTACATCCGATTCCCGTGAGATGTATACCCATGTGTCAACGGATGCGCCTACACTGGAATCGTATACGAGAGACCCAGCAACAGATATTCCGGTTACAACTTCACTGGAAAACGATACAAAACTAAATACTGAAGAAATATCAATAGATGTAACTATAACCACAACAACTTCTCCTGAACATGATACAACCACTGAAGCTCAAGATATTGTCGCCCTCACAATAACAGACGAATCTGGATTAGATATAACAACAACAGATGTTCCAACTTTCTTCAAAAAAAGCAAGACAGAAGACATCAAAGATATATTATTTAATGAATATGATAGAACAACACCATTTCGAATATATGCAGCCAAAAGATCGGATGGACAAGCTATAAATTCGGCAACGGAATCACATCCACAAGACTCAGTAACAGATGCTCCAACTAAAGATGATATAAATATAAACAATCTTGAAAGAAATGCCAATGTATCAGCTAATTCGCCTGCATCATTAAATAGATCGACAAAAACACTTGCAAATAATACAACAACTAACCCTGAAGAAAGAAATTCTCAAACAGAAGTTAGCACATTTTTATTTATGACGTCCACGGAATCAGCGGAATCAACGAAATTGGAGGCAAGAACAAACTCGCAGAACAGAAATTATTCAACGTCCATGAATACACTAGTACTAAGTACAATAGCAGAACCATATTCACGGGACATAACTATAAATACATCCAACATTGGTCATGTTGCTACGGATGAATACGTACTAAATGAAACACGAGAGCTACATATACATAACTCTCAAACGAATACTCCACCGACATCTCCTGAAAATGATGCCACAACTGAAACTGAAGACTTATCTACGACAACGGAATCACCCCATGAAAGCACTGAAAGGGTCACAATGCCGTTGTCTATCAAGTCATCTACAGAAATGTCGCCGGCCTCACTAGTGACACCACAGAGTTCAACAGTGTTGACGCCGTCGCCGTCCCCATCACCTCAAAACAAAACCACTGAAATAGGTAATTATTATTAATGTTTTCATTTTTTTTCATTAAGAACAATTGGCATTAACGCATATTAGTGCAGAGGCCCAAACCTTACCCCTCCTCCCTAATTCTCATGGTAGCACTCAAATACCGACAACACACTATTGTGACTTTCAAGGTGTTGATAGGCGGTAGACACTTACTAACGGGTGACCCGTCTGCTCTTTTGTCCAATACCATCTAAAAACCCATTAAACTTTGATACTTTGTTTATGGACAAAAGACTTAAAATGTATTATTTTATTGATTGATCAACTAATCTAAAAGGTTTCTGTTAATAGATATAGTTTGCAAGTACAAATAGAACTGTAATTGTTACATTAATTAAGGGAACAGTTTTATAAAATACTAGTGTTGGCACCTAAGCCTTACCTACCTTACATACATACTCGTATATATTTAAAATCGATGATCGTAAAAAATACAGAGTTACATTATATATTTGTTCTGTTGCAGATGTTGGTGCAGCACCAAAAAGACGTACTTGTAAGTAGATCGTATCAGTGAAAATCAGTCATCACACAATACATGTATTTACGTGATTGTTTGACTGTTCAAAACTAGATTTTCTATTTTATGAAGAGAACTTAAAGTAGTGTGTGTTTAAGTCTCAAATATATTGACAAGTAACTTCGTGCAAAGCAATAGAAGCAAAATGTCTTAAGCCCTATATTCTTACAATAAGCAATTAAACGTTTTTGTTTCAGGTTCAAGGAAAAAAGCTTGCGGTGAGTTCAGTTTATAAAACCATGCTCGGCCCCGAAGTTCCTCGATGTACACATAATATTAAAGTATACATCATAATAATAAAAAAAAAAAAAAGTAAAGTATACTCGTAAATAAGAATTATACATTGCTTTGACATCTTCGTATATGACTTTGTGGCTAGTCAATGCTTCAAAACTCGTTGGCAAATAACTAATCCGCTTCACGATGCCCTACAAAATGCAACTGTAAACTTACCAGAATCACAGAGTATTCTGAAGTAATATCCAGAATATAGTTTTATTATTAGTAACATAGTTACATTATACGTATTTAAATTTATTTAAATAATATTAACTGACACGTCTCGATTTCTTTTTAGAGGTCTTGTCAGTCTTATATCACTAAAAGTTCGTTTGTTTTACAGGAGGCACCGGCAAATCAGCAGCGACGGGCAAGCGCCGGCGCAGACGTAGGCGGCGCACCACCCGCGCGCCTCAGATCTCGTACCCTACTCCTGCACCAGGCAACACATAATGCGCACACACTTATAAATAACACAATAAGAGTAACGGCAGTTGTTAATATAAAACTAAATCAAATGACACGTATGACTTGTGGTACTTACGTCTCGGTTAGATGCTTAACTTCACACAACAAAAGACAAGAAAATTCACAAAGTACCTCTCCGTACTTTTAAAAAAGCATTAATAGTCTCGTATTCATAGGACTACTACGAGTATCATCTCACTGCCACTCGTATTGTGAATGTGAAAGTTTGAATAGATGTTTCTGACTCAATCACGCCAGAGCGGATCGCCTTTAAGTGCACTACTAATAACACACTCAATATAATTTTTGTCACTAACAAAATATTTGTCATCATCTTCTCCAACTAAGCTTACGTACCTGCTGCTTGAAGTTCTATACACATCTACATGTATATAATATAAATACTTCACCTTAATAACCATTTATTATATCCTAAGATGATTCAGTTAAGTGCACAATGACTAAAAAAGCATCCATCTCTGAGCGACCAAAATTATTGCAACACGTATATCGGCACGCTACTATCACGCTATCTTCCGGTCAACTAATAATACGCGTAATTTAAATAAATACTGATCTCGACAAGTCCTTTTCCGATATTTTTTAAAATGTCCGCCATTTTGTAGCGATGCCAACAGTTCAGAATAAATAGGTATATTTTATTTCTATCAATTTTTAAACAAATATACATAATTAAATACGCCATATTTTTGTACATTTTCCTTACATACTACACGGCAGTAGTTATGATCCACCCGGTGTAGTAAGAGATCTCTGTAGCGACAATAGGCATCTCATCATTACCTTTGGAGACGCCGAATGATGCAACACCAACTACAGTGTTACCGAAAAAAAGAGGAGCTCCAGTATCGATGGCGTCAAAATCACGCCCCCCAGAAGTACTAAGGCCAGTACAGATCATGTGTGTAGACACGTTACCGGGTCGAGTTCCCGGGAAGGTTTTGTAGGCTTTCTCGCAAGCGTCAAACTTCTTGGTTTGGAGTAGTAGGCTATAGAGGTTGTCGTTAATGACTGTCCCGCCCTGAAAATAAATCATTGATTTCTATGATGCAAAAACATACCTACAAAAACGTAAATCGTTAAACCTAATTGTACTCGTAAATTTCATGAAGAACTTACAGTGGTAGATCCCCAACCGACAATTAGCAGTGGTACATTATGAGGCAAGAGGAATCCCTCAGGCATGAAATGGGTCTGTGCAATTGTTGGTCCTAAGGAAAGTTCCCATCTCACGCGTATTAGTCCGATGTCGCCGACGTCGCCTCTGAAGTTATTGCTCGGGTGGTGAATGACGTGTCTGATGTCTGTGGTGAAACCACCAACACCTCGGACTGAAGAACCGGCTCGGACTCGATAATTTCTGAGACTGTTGACAATCATTTTTAATAGTCATAAAACGAATTTTATCAAATTTCAGTATTATAACAAATAAAATTATACTATTTTAATATTTTAGTCTTTTATATTACATGTTCACATATCTATATGTGAAAATATAATATAAAAGACTAAAATATTAAAACAGATTTTATGATGTCTTTGTAACTAAGCAACAAAAACTAAACATTGAATAATTTAATGTAGTTAAAAAGAAGGTAAAACACTTACGCGATCCTGAGGCAAGAGGCGGCAGTCAAGACGTGGTACTTGGTGACTATACTGCCCACGCACTGCTGCAGCCAGAACCCACCGCTATAGTGCTCCACTTGCACGACGCTGGGATAGTTTTCTATCGGAGTTTGCGTGCCCAACGCAAGAGTGTAGCTCAAAACTATGCACATCAAACAAATCGCAATTATTCGTCGAAAATACCCGATCAAATATTGGCAAAAACAGTTTGGATAATTCGCTATTTCTATGTGTAGCAATGTCGCCTGACCTGTCGGTCTTGTGTTTAGCGATGCTTGGAGCGGTGCTGCGAGGATTAACTTTCCATCCAGGAGGAATATTGTGTGATGATTACAATCATTTATTCTGTTGTGTGGTAATTTGTCTGAGTGTAACTTTTATAGAAATTGTATGTCGGCCATAAATACGCGTAACATGATGAACAGTTTGAACAGTACACTATATCGTTACACCTATCAATAGATTTGGAAATTACTATCAAGAATATGGGCCTCAGCGGGTAGATAAGGATATGGGCCTTAGCGGGTAGATAAGGATATGGGCCTTAGCGGGTAGAGAAGGATATGGGCCTTCGCAAGTAGATAAATATATGGTCCTTAGCGGGTAGAGAAAGATATGGGCCTAAGCGGGTAGAGAAAGATATGGGCCTTAGCGGGTAGAGAAAGATATGGGCCTAAGCGGGTAGAGAAAGATATGGGCCTTAGCGGGTAGAGAAAGATATGGGCCTTAGCGGGTAGAGAAAGATATGGGCCTTAGCGGGTAGAGAAAGATATGGGCCTAAGCGGGTAGAGAAAGATATGGGCCTTAGCGGGTAGAGAAAGATATGGGCCTTAGCGGGTAGAGAAAGATATGGGCCTTAGCGGGTAGAGAAAGATATGGGCCTTAGCGGGTAGAGAAAGATATGGGCCTAAGCGGGTAGAGAAAGATATGGGCCTTAGCGGGTAGACAAGGATATGGGCCTTAGCGGGTAGATAAGGCATACCAGCTGTTAGTTAGATATTAGTCTATTACAATGTGTTACAATGTCGAATTTTTTGCTATCAAACACCCGGTGTTTACTACGTTGTATTACAATCATTCATTTAATTACATTGAATTTCATTTTCATAGTGCAGAGAGTACCGATGGTGCAATGTCGTTTATGATGCTTCAGTAAACTTGTTAATTTAACTATTAAATTTAATGAAAACTATAATGTTATACGATTCGTAGGCCGGACACAACTTTAACCTTTAACCGTCCTCGCAAAATTTTTACCACGTAAATACATTTTAATTTTTAAACAAACCTGCCAGGAAAATCACAGCCCACTTGAGTATCGACATGGTGAACAAAAGACAACAGATTTATTAATGACAATATCTTCAAGGTAATATTTCGATTCATTTAAATTATACAAGGACAGTGATGCTCAGTTTTGCTCATTAAACTATTATAAATACTTGTATTTGAGCCAATTATTTGTAGAAAAGTTAAAATATGAGGAATATCGCAATATTACAAATCTGTCATAAAGCTATTATTGTACTCATTTGCTGAAAACTAAATATTCTAAGCATCAGAAGAAACGTTGTATGTCTGACTGGTAGACATTATTCATTCATTTTGGGAATCGAGTCTCTGAGTCAGAGACTTTTGTCCGTTTTTCCGAGTTAGTGAAGCTACGAGTAGATTGCATCTATGACCCGTCATGAAATGCTTTTATAGTATTTAGGATTTCTGGAAAAATAGACACAAGTAGTAGTACTATTATTTTGTTAATTTAACAAATCTATTGATATAATAAAAATACATTAAATAACTATGTTATTAGTTGGTGTGTCATGAGTATTCGCTTACTCGAAATGTAGCAGCAGCCAGCGAAATGTGCCGAGCACAGTTTTTATGAAGTACAAGTGATCATACCTTGAGCAATTAATTGTTTCATTCTTTGTTTATTTGGAAGTATTTGATGGTAATTACAACTTGGGCTCAACAAGGCTCCAAAAGATAAACAAGTCTTTTCGAGGTCAATGTGTCCGATTTTATAATAAAATCCCAAATAATATTCAAGAGTTGAGTATTAACAAATTTAAATACGCAATAAAACGTGGCTTGTGCCAGAGGGCCTACTACTCGATTGTGGATTACATGGAGGACAAGAATGCTTGGGATTAATTAGCGCAGGCTATTTCTTTCTTAAGTAAAAATGTGGTGTGGCTAGTATGTTTTTTATTATTATTATTTTCTCTATTTTTTATGTTTCACTTCATTTTCTCTTGTATTCGTTTTTTTCTTCTTAATCTTGTTTTCTCTTCATTGTCTTTTCACCTTTTAGTCCTTAATAACGGACATACTAGCACACATCAAAACAATGTTGTGGTATATTTAATAGTGCCATTGTATCTACCTGTGAATTGCAAAAGAGTGGCCATGAGTTTGTTTGCCCTTTCTTGTCATAAGGCTCAACCCCTTGGAAACGGGCGGTTGTAGATCGGCACAGGCATATCATAGATTTTGTATGGGTTTGATTTTTGTTAAATTTATTTGGTTACTATTTGACAAAACAGAGATTGTTGCTTTTGTGTGTGTTAATCTATGACTTTAGAGTCTACATGGAAGACGATTTCAAACAATTTTGGAAATTTTATGAAATAAAGAAAGTTTGAGTTTTGAGTTTTTTGAGTTTTGAAAGAGGAACTTCCAATACGCTTAGAAGTTGTTATTGTCTTGTATTAACTGAATATCTCACGCAATAACCCTCACGTTCAAGGTTCCGAGTGGCGACGGACGAGCCGACCTAAATTTATGTTAACGACTGTACATTTTATCTCCTTTCAGATAATCGCAGTAGATACCAAGATATTATACAGAGATACTAAGATAAATAACTAACTGTAGATAACTAAAGTTGTCAAAGGCGGATAATTGTTCAGTTTTTGACAAATATATAACTCAATATCCAATTATTAAAGTGAAAAGAAATTATTTTTGAACAAACAACCAATAAGAACACTTACGCCTTATGTTACGTTAAGTGTTAACTTAACTATCGTTTGCGTAGGCCAGTCCTGACCTACAGTCTAAGTTGTAAAGCTCACTCTCTTACTCTATAAAAGATAAAACAAACGTTACAACAAAAGACAACGCTACAACAGTAACGTTTATTGGATGGATTTAATAACAAGTAAGGGACAAACTTAAATCATGATAAAGACAGTCACGCGCTGTAAAAATGAATCATATTGCTTCATAAATAATATTTATGTTGCCCTTATCACTAGGTACTTAAAACGACAATGCATCATCATGCTTAGGTTATTAGACTAAACATTATCACATTACCTGGGCCTGCTGGTCAAACAAATGCGCGGGGGCTACTCCGTCTCTCCTCATTTCTCCTTCATGAAGTAGTTTCAGTTTAATAATTGCCTCAAAACAAAACACTGCACATTTTATCTCTAAAACTACTAGAGATGTGATTCGTGATTCCAAAACCAAACTGTAAAATATTGTCATTTTGACAAAATATTATTCTATCTATGTGCTAAACATAAATAATTTGTTTACTACTATCAGCTACTATCATACTTCCGTACTAAACGCCCAGGTAGCTTCCAATCCGCTTTCGCCGGAATACTCATATCCTTACACTTCTGTATAATATTTTGTTTAATCCATTAACTTCTGTTTACCTCAAAGAACACTTTAATTTCCTTCATGACACACATTTGAAATGCCCAAGATCCTGTGTAAGCCTGAGATTGAAAATACCAATGCATTCTACCAACTTTTATACAAAATCATTTACCGTAGAAGCGTCACGTTTATGGAATGCCTTGCCGGTTTCACTTCTCCTCACACTCACCTTCAAAACTATGTTCTATGAGCCTTATATGTTTCTCATAGTTTAAAATTAGTGTAAGTATATACGTATGTGTATAGTACTGTATGTGTGTATAGTTTTTTAATTGTAAATATGAATTGGTAAAATTTGTGTATACCTAATAACTTATTACTAGAACTTTTATATACCCATCACCAGTTCAAAATGAATCCAGTCCATCTAAAGGTTGTCTGGAAGAAATTGTTCTAAGCGATAAGGCCGACCTTTGTACATTGCACTTGTTGTACGTTTAATTACTTTATAATATCTATAAATCCCTTGTGTAGGTAATTCCGTGCATCGCGGCCGATGGCTGAAGACTGTAGGATGACTGTAGGCGGCTGACGCGCGTGGGCGAACCATGCGACAATAGTCAGAGTATGAAAATGTATGGCAACGTTTCCAAGGTCTACGCCAGACGAGCGCGGCTGTGCACTGACGTAGACTGCCTATGCCTGTTTGTGTTTCTCAATGTGCTCCAGTCAATGTTGTTCCAGTCAAGGACGCGCTCCAGTCATGGACGGACCTTGCCTGTCGACTGAGTGTAAGTCTGAGTCTAAGTCCGAGTCTAAGTCTGAGTCTAAGTCCGAGTCTAAGTCTGAGTCTAAGTCTGAGTCTAAGACTGAGTCTAAGTCTAAGTCTGAGTCTGAGTCTAAGTCAGAGTCTTAGTCTGAGTCTAAGTCTGAGTATAAGTATGAGTATAAGTATGAGTCTAAGTCTAAGTCTAAGTCTGAGTCTAAAGACTTTTGAGTTTAAATCTCCCCCAATATTTTCCCCAAAATAGGTTGAGGTCAGCTTTAAGTATTAGGTACAATGCGAACTACGATATTTTCACATCACGCCATCAAATCTCCACAATCCAAATACTAGGATACACAAGGCTTAAGGTTAGCACAAGGAGGAGCACCAGCTATTTTTGTGCTGCAACAGAAAGCTATTCGAGCACTTTATAATTTAGGCAATCGCTGTTCATTAAGGCAGACTTCTTGAAAAGAAGTGATCTACATGCTTTATATACCAGAAATGAAATTGTACCTGCCTCTATGTTACAAAAGATGAACAATTCATTTCGAGGTTAATGTGTAAGATTTTATAATAAAATCCTAAATAGTATACAAGACTTTAGTTTAAACAAATTTAAATCCAAAATACAAAGTAAACTATGTCGGAAAGCCTATTTATTACTCAATTATGGATTACATAGAAGACAAGAATGCTTGGGATTAATTTAGAACAGGCTATTTAGTTGTGGAAATGTGATGTGATCTGGTGTGTTTTTTTTTCTTTTTTTTCCATTTTTATGTTTTACGTAACTTGCTTTTTTTCGATATTTTTCCTTAATCTTGTTTTCTCTTCATTGTCTTTTTACCTTTTAGTCCTTAATAATTGACATACTGGCACACATCATAATATTGTTGTGGTATTTGTAATGATACAATTGTGTCTATCTGTTAATTTAAAGGGCGTGGCCGTTGAAGCGGGTGAATTGAATCGAAAAACACTCTGTAAAGAATGAGCACGAATTCCGGAAATAAAACAGCAGAGAGACTGAGCGTGTACTGCCTTGTAAAAGTTCCAGAGTTGCAGTACCAGTCAACAATAAAACTAAACATAAAGCTATCGACTATATAATTATTGCTGACACAGATAACATGCAACATTTGATCCATCCTGTATTGCGGTGTATATACCATATATTTATACCATCAGGCGCTTGAACACACTCTTTACAAGCCCTCTATATTTTTGACAAAGCTATCCAGTGATAACCCACACCATGGGATAGCCGAGAAATAAAAGAACATTCCCACTTTATACTTTTTATTTTATTATCACTTTATACGAGAGGTACCCTTTTTTTTTTCCGTGCGGAAATCCCCTCGGATACCACCTGTCGGTGGCATGTCGGACTCGAACCGACTAAAACCGCACGCCGTCTCGGGTACTAATAGCCGGGGAACCAGGTATACCCTAGAAAGGAAGTCCCTGGTGCCCCGACATACCTCGGGTCATCTACAGACGAGTATATATATATATACGTGTATATATATACCCTAGAGGCGCCACCCCGGCCTGCTTCTGCTAGGGTGACAGATGGCCTCACCTGTCACCCCCAGGCCTGCGCTTATGTTGCACGGAGGTCGTTCTGCGACCTCCGACGCCTGAGTCGCCTGCGGTACCTGGCCCGTTCCCGGGCCTGGCGGGCCGGGAGAGTCCTAAACCTCTCCCGGTCCCGCTCCGCCGTCTCCTTCGCGAACGAGAGGTACCCTAAAAAATATTTTTTCAACTGTTTATTTTACCACTTTGTTGATGTGATTAATATATTTGTATATATTATTCACGCAAAATTACACGTTTGTAAAACGGAGCAGTCTGTAAAAGTTCCTGTATTTTAATTAGTAGTTTAGATGAGACTTATATTTGCACAGGAGTAAAATGTTGAACTCGGTTCCGACAATTAAATGATCTTAGTTCATGTCTTCTGACGACTTCTGATAAATTGTATGTTAAAGGATTTTTTATAGTCCCAATAACATCTACATCTTATAAATGTCTAATAACTTATTATTTTGTTATTATTATGTTATTTTTTTATGCAACCAGTTATACATCGGGATAGTTGGGAAGCGCAACAATCCCAACTGAACTATATGAAGTAAGGAGCATTGCGCTTACCACTTGTCTTCAGAAGTGCACTGTGTATTATAAAATCCATTTTTCGGGCCTTTTATTATTTATTATATTTTTATCACAAAAAATAATATACCAAACTCAAACTCTCTTTATTTCATAAAATTTTCAAAATTGTTTGAAATCGTCTTATATGTAGACTCTAAAGTCATAGATTAACACACACAAAAGAAACAATCTCTGTTTTGTCAAATAGTAAGCAAATGAATTTAACAAAAATCAAACCCATACAAAATCTATGATATGCCTGTGCCGATCTAAAACCGCCCGTCTCCAAGGGGTTGAGCCTTATGACAAGACAGGGCAAACAAACTCATGGCATACCAATCATTTAAAAACAAAAACCATTAAAAGTCTAAAATGTATTCGGTTAGAACTCACATTAAATGCTACATCTTTAAAATACGAACCTCATATCGTGCTTACAACTCGAGATAAATGATTTTTAAACATTTTCGTTTTTTTTTTCTCAAAAGCTCCACTGATATTGGCTTTAAAGATTTAAATAAAGATCTGTTCATACCCTATTTACGAAAAAAATAACCACACCAATTCACCTGGAGTTTAGAAACTACAGCCCATTTTAGTCATAACTGTACTCGTTAGAGCTCTCTCTTTTTAAAGTACTATATTTATCCGGATCTTTTTCTGTGATGTTTCTGGAACGTCACCTAAATACACTGGTGGACACACAACTACATTAAATTACATATTATTTAACTTGCAGCGTTTCATAGTAAGTTTATTTAACTTGGAATTTGAATTAGATTCACATCTATCCTACACAGTTGAAATTTATCACATGATCTGATGTAGAGTTGCCAGCAGTTGCCGGCAGCTCTGCCCGCAGAAAATAGTTTTTTATACTACGTGTTTCAAAAAAAAACAATTTTCTATACAATTTTCTAAATTTTTCTTTCAGTGAGAACCTTCTACAAAGTATTAGAAAACTATCAAAAAAAGATGAATGATATCGGTCAAGTCGTTCTCAAGTTAGGGCGTGACCAAGGCAAAAAGAATTCGAGATCGTTTTTATTATTGTTACATTATGAAAATGGAAAGTTTTAGTACAACAATATACGTTTAAAGGCAAAATTAGACATTTTATAAATGCAGTAGAAAGAAATGCAATATTATATATTATTTCTTAACTTTATCCAGGTGAATTATTATGCAAGTTCAAAAATTTGTTGTGGCTGAACTAATCATGTTTGTCACTTGGGAGTTTTACTCTGGCGTTCTAAATACTTTGTCTAATATGTTTTTGTAATAAAAAGGAGATAACCAAAAACGGCTTAAGAGGTCGGATAAAGGTCTTGCTGCACATTTTGCGGTGCCACTCCCATCCGCTCAGAGTGTGTAACGCGCGATAAAGAACTTCGTTCCAGAAATGGGTCTTGTAATACATACATACAACGACTGCGAGCGAACACTCAGACCCTGTTCGATCTACTTAGTTAAACACAAAAAGTAGCTCGTTGGTACCTTTTGCTACACAGTTTTTTGTACAAAACACATTGTGTGAATACATTAGGGTTGTTCATCCGAAAGTACGTTGAGTGAAATGCAATCTTAAATACAAGTACGTTAGCAAGCTGTCAAATACATTTAAAATGCAAAATGGCCACTGCTATATTAAAATCAACAAAAAAGCAAAACTAATTTGACAGTCATACTAACTTTTAAACTTTCGCGTTCCATGATAATTAATATTATTTAACGGGAATTAACGCGATCTCTTAGCCTGTGACCACGGCCGGTGCAACCTGGTCGAAACGTCAGGCAAACCAGAGGTATGTAATACCCTAAATAAGAGATCGCGTTAATTCCCGTTAAATAATATTAATAATTTGACAGTCAACTCTGTAATAGATATAAACTTAAGATAAGTTTCTCTCTACTTGTACTTTCTTGTGGATTTGTATGAATTTTAATTTAATACAAGAGTACCCAGAATATCACAGAAATATATATTTATGATGAACATTATTTAATTAAGTCAAAGCGAGTTGAGTGATATGACAGTACTGCCTCTTGACCACCTCGCTTGAATAGCTCTATCATTAATAAGAGCACGTTAAAAGCTAACAAAAGAAAATTAAAGTACATGTTCAATTGTAGTGACGGATTAAGAATACGGAATGTCACTACCCCAATTCCTCCCGTGGGTGTCGTAAGAGCCGACTAAGGGCGCAAAACAACGCATCACTGCAAAAAGAAGGAAAACTTGATACAAACCCTATACCAACCCGTCTGGCCAGCGTGGTATAGTAGGCCAAAACCTCCTTTCTAAAGAGTTCAATGAATAAAGTCATTCAATGAATGCCTCATCAAAGAAACTGACGGCGTTCGTCCTTCTGTATAGAGACAGGGTACGTCACATGCTTTTATTACATTCACAAGCTCCCTCTACTGTTCTTAAGCTAGCAACTAACTATAACTCTACAACTTGCTTTTAACTTGCTGTTTTGTACGTAATATGTCTAAGTATAGGCACATGTCTCTAAACTGTTGTCATAGCGCTTTTGCCGCCAACAATGTGGTTCTAATCAATCATTTATACATGAAATAACATTGAGTGAGTTTGATGAGAGTGCAGGAAACCTTGTCGCGCTGCTCTACGCTTATGTACAATCAGGGCCGGATTAACCATTAGGCAGAGTAGGCAACTGCCTAGGGGCCCCGCTTTTGCTGTTAGTTCCTGAGGAGTTACGCATCAGTCAGGGGATGCTGCTAATGCTATTACTCGTATAACCCCACAACCCTTCATCGACTTACAAAGACTTGAATCTTTAAAAAAAGGAGCCCCAAGGATTGCATTGCCTAAGGGCCTCAACATGGTCAACTCAGCCCTGTGTGTTACTGACAATCAACAGCCAGTTCGAGTTACAGCCCTGAGCTGCTTGAACGAAAGCTTACACTCCTCAATCAATCCGCATCAGTAGTTATTACGTTATCCGTGTGGTGACGGATTAAGAATATGAACTGTTACCACCCCTATTCATCCCGTGGGTGTCGTTAGAGCCGACTAAGGGACAACCTACCCAGGACAACAGCACTGCAAAGAGAAGGTGAACCCTGACAAATACCAACCCGTCTGGCCCGCGTGGTATTGTAGGCCAAAACCTCCTATCTCAGGAGAGGCCTATGACCAGCAGTAGACAAATTAAGGCTGTTGATGAGCAGTATCTCTTTCCCATCATTGCGCTTCCTTTTCATCTGACCATTTTATCTTCAAAACAGACAATAACTTGGGAACATTTCCATTATGTATTCGATTCTCGCTACTCTCGACACTCGCCATTACCAGAGTACGAAAGTAGGTAATACAGAATATACAATACTCGTACAGGATCTTGCTATATGTCATCAGAGCTGCGTTATGTTAAAATTCTTTACTGAATGCAGTTTATCGGTATATACATAGTTTATAACGAATACAATCGACTGATATAAAAAGATACCAATTTAATTATCTTAAAACCTAATATACATCGAATAGCTTATTTAAAATCACGTCTCGCGCGTGTCAACACGTTCCATACACTGTATTTCACACAAAATGTCGGTTTTTACAACAGATGACCTACAACGTCGCATTATTTACAGTCAAGGTGTCATGTAACGTAATCATATGTTTGGCGGTATCACTGGCAGTGCTCGTTGCGGTCGTCTGCGGAGCCGGTGCGCCGCCAGCCAAACAGGAAGTAGCCGAACGTAAGACCGAGCACAAGCGCCAAACACAGCCACACGTTATACGTCATGAAGATCAACATCAGCACGTAGGAGAGCGTCGACTGGATCATGTGCATCAGGGTCTGGATGGCGTGCCCACAGCTCAGCATGCTTGGTCTGAAACAAGATAAGGCCCTCATATAATCGGCTATTTAGGTCTTACATACTTTGTGCCAAGGTCAAGTAGCTTTTTACATCATAGCGAAATCCCCAAGGGGCCTCATCTCTAGCCAAAGTGATAGGTATGTCAGACTTAAACCGATAAAACCACATGCAAAGCCTTACTCAAGAAATAAATTAATTAAATGGTATTGCGTAGGATATCGTTAAGATCGCGCCTATATTCACAAACGTGTCGTTTAAGTTTGTGGCAATACTAACTTGACAGAGGTATGTTGTAGAGTGTGACCCTCATTCTTCGCAATGTTTAATTGTGAGTCTCCGAGAGCGGCGCGTTTCTTAGCGAGCTCTTCACGCATGCACTTAAAGCCCTCGTACAGCACTGCTGCTACGAAGATAGCAACTGCTGAACCGAAAAGCTGAGCAGCATTCGTCGTTTGCCACCCCTTGAACAAAATCTCGGCGCACACGCAGGAGTGGAACTGCAAGACATGAGCAACATTATATCAAGCATATCTATAAAAAGAATTTAAATATCATAGATCTAGATGCGACCGCCTGGAACAATAGCGTAGGGTTGCGGCCTGTATTAGTCCAAACAATTCCTAGGAAAAACTCTCCATTATACAGGCGATAGAAAATGCAGAGTGAAGCTACATCTTTACATAACGCGAAGGGGTCAAGCCGATCAGAGATTCTGGCTATCGACGATTCGATCGTTCTCCGTTGGGTACGGTCCAGAGGGAGAAGCTGGTACTGGGTGCCTCTACATAGAGATGAGAACAGTATTCTACATGCGGCCGGACTTGCGCCTTATAGAGTTGCAGGCGGTAAGAAGATGTGCAATACTGTTCAACACACCAACCCTAATTTTGCCTTACCCTCTAACTGACCGCAAACAGGATTTCGCTTTATATGTCTACGCCAAGGAATCCATTACCGCCTGAGGCAGTTAGAGAGGTGCTCCCAAACCGACTTGATGAGGCAAACACTAACTTTTTTGAAGTAAACCCGCAAATCTGAATGAAGTTTCGATCACTTATTTGACATAAACTTATACTCAAGTATGTACATATCTCATTCCTTTTTTGCCTCAGAATATCAATCTCGTAATGGACTATCAAAAAAATACTTACCACCATAGCGTGGTTGTGTTCACCGCAGGGGTCGTCGGGGTTGGGATGATGACCATCCTGGCGCACCGTTTCCATCACGTTCATTCTGGAAACATCAAATTGTCTAGTTATCGACCACATTGTACCCTTAGGACAAGTGTTTAACACGTTGATACAAATGCAATTTACAGAATTAAAACTATCAGAGACAGTAGAATGAGTATTTTCAAAGCTCGCTGCCTCTGCTTGGGCCCACCAAAATTGCCGACCACTCGTAACCCAGGCAACAATCTCGTTCGCACCATTCTATGTTCTTAAATGTTTGCTTTGGTGTTTTGTCACTGACTGTACCGCAAGCTCGTTCTATTATATTCACTGTACATATCGATTACATTTATAGGTATAAGTGTACGAGTATTTATAGATTAGCTACACTTGCACTGCCGAACTGCTGCACTTAGGAATGTTAATTTCACGAATATTATTTGTAATATCACGATTTTCACGATGGTAGCCACTACGGTGCCATACAAACGTATTATTAATAGATTATCGACTAAAGCATATAGTTTCTCACATTTTTCGAGTTTACTAACTAATTTTTGTGATAAAAACAGAATAATACACACTTCACAATTTGAACACCGATTAGATACTGGCAGAAACAAATGTAGGTTAACAATACGCGGCCGGACCAGCATTGCACGAACACATTATTCAGTTTAAAAACATAAACAAGCGTAACCATCATTTTTATATATTATTTATGTTAACAATCTATTGTTCTTATAAAAACATCATAGCGGTGATCAATGGCTTAACAAGCCATTCTCCTTAACACTCATTCTCTTGCCGCGAGCCTTTTTTCAAACCTAACTTTTTATTTTTCCTTGTCGAGTTTTGCGGGCAAATGCAATTGATATAGTTCCCTAAAGCTTGATAGTTGTCATAGTAGTCTTGAAACATACTACACAATCTACACGACGCTGAAATAATATCACTCCCGTGATTTGAAATAAATATAAATGGCACCATTATCAATATTGACAGGAGGCATAGGCAAATCTCGAGATAATAACATCCCAAAACGCAAATACATATGTAATATATACTCTTTAAAAGCTAGTGTGTCAAGCCGTCAGTCTGACCAAACAATCAAACAGCTGTGGGTACGGCCTTGGCTGCCAAAACACAAACATCCTCGGGGCACCTCGGGGGATGATTTCGTCATTGGTATATGTTTGAGTACGACTCCCCAAGTCATATACTCGTAGTGCTTACCGTCAATGTACGGACATGTTATCAATTAATTCCTGTAGCTCACACACTCTGCTCACTCTCTCACATATTTATGTTACTTGACAAGCACTATTTTTTTACTCGTTTAAGTTACAATTATATTAAAGTAAAGATAAGTATTTAGTGCACTGAGTGCACTAAGAGACCGTTTACAGTGGCCAGTGCACGTGTAAGGTGTACGGTAGTGCAGTGACTAGTGGCCCTAGAATGCACAGTTATTGTGTGGGTCCTAAGTGCAGTTGTTTATCGTCGAGTTATTGTGGAGCTTTGACGTATTGTTTCCTCGACTGATAGTTTTGTTTGACATTACGTAAACGCGCACAATGAATTGTTTAGGTGTGACAGCTGCGCGCGGACACAATGGCGCGAGTGAACAGGTGGCGCGACAGACACATCACATTATATTTTTGTAATATTTACTTAGATTTAGATAATTTACTAGTTCGAGGATAGTTAAAGAGAATATGAGTGCTTAAACTACAATTAACCTAATGCAGATGTTAAATTATTTCCTCGGAAGTTGAATGTTGTTGTTTTAGTTGGAATTGGCTTCGCCGCTTTGGGCACAGAAACATTGCTGTAACCGCGATAAAATCAACACATTTCCGATTTTAATAAGTTAGTTATGACCATATTTTCTTTACAATTTGTCAAAAATCCAAACAACATATTTCTGCGTCTAATATTTATTTCTCACCCCCATCAACTCACCCACCTATCGACGAGCCGCACCAGGCAGTTGCTCCCTAGGCCCTTGGGTAAATACGTCACGTAAATTATAATTATTTTGTTTTTTTTATATTCAATAATAAAAAAAAAGTATATACTTATATACGTTCTCCTAATATTACAATCAGCCTGTGGTCGTGGTTTCAATTCTCGGTGTAATTTATCTATTATATGTAGGTACATGTTTCGAAATCTATAAGTACACTCTGCCTAATTGAGTTCAGACGGCCGCCGATGCCTCCGACGGACGCGGCACAGATGTTTGTTTAAATGTCTATTAAATTGCGTCCTAAAGCTCTATCCCTTTCCAACGTATTACGAATTGTTCACGAAAGAACAGGGTCTCCTCTCACATAGAATTTGGGAAGTCTGTGGTATAAAAAAGTTGACTTTTGTTGTTTTAACCTGTGGCCTTTTTTTGTTCAAAGTTTATAAACATGTGCAGTATAAAAAAAATGTATGGAAACACATGACAATTGCTTTTTATTTTAAAATATACTCAAGGTTGTATAAGAAGAAAGAAATATTACATCCAGAAAGTGTTTTATTTTTTATAAACAGGATAATAAAGGTAAGTTCTAGTTAACCCATTTTATTTCCCTTATAACAATTGCACTTCCAATCAAAACCAGGTGTAATGTAGGAAATTACGTAAATAAATATGTTTTATTTATAAAACTAAGAAGTGTTATACAAAATTCAATCACCTTTCGAAAAAATCTAGATTTTTTATAACCTAGGTCTCAAAAAATACCCTATCTGTGACGAGTCCTGAATCTGTGTAAAATGTGTGTGCTACGGATAAAAAGTCTAAGTCCACATTGTCGAGGTTTCAGGCGAGGGAGAGCACTTGCCTTTATGCGTGCGTCTGTGCATTGTTGTGCTTACGTATTCTCAGTCGGTGGGAGGATCATCATCATCATCATCATTTTTATCACAATAAAAATAGTATTTATGACAGATCTAAACATTAAATACTTATAATAGGTCTTTACCTATGAAATTGCTGTTTTGTATGCAATAAGTGAAAGTACTTATTTTTTTAAACTTTTTTATTTCTCTTATTCGAAGTAATCACCCATGCAATCGACGCATCTTTGCCAACGCATTGGCAGTTATCAATAAACTGTCCTTCTTGTAAAAATCAGGTGGACGGGAGACAACAAACTCTTCAAAGGCATTTTGTACTGCCTCTCGGGAATTGAATTTTTTACCCACTAAAAAGTTGTCTAAATTTTGGAAAAGTAATAGTCGGTAGGTGCAAGGTCTGGTGAGTATGGCGGATGAGGCAGAGCTTCTAACCTAAGGAGCAGTGGGGACGACCGATTGACCAAAGCTGGTTACAGATGTGCAAGCTTCTCCATCATTCTCTCCAGTTCTTCACAGTACACATCTGCATTAATGCTTAGTGGTATGGTAGCAGTGGTCTACTAAAAGCTGTTGATGATGATGATGATGAATGGTTGTGGATTATTTTCATTTGTATAAGGTTCTGTTTGTTTTGAATTGATTTTCCAAAGAGCATATTATTGTGCTTGCTTGTGGCTGTAGCTTGTGGAATAACAGCCTACGTCACGGTTCAGTATCTCAGGTTCAAAATTAGATAATTAACTGTAAAGTTAGATTTGTAAGGCACTTCTCTTTTACACTTCTTCACACTTAAAAATACAACCGTGAGATCAATTTACACAACTTTTTCGAAAATCTTATGATTGGTCAGCAAAATACAAAAATATTATGGGTTAAAGTATGAAATTGCTATTTGTTTGTTGTATCGATTTGTACTGAAAAATGGACACTAGTTTTTTTCTAAGATATTTATTTAATCAAAATATTTACCCTCATTATCTATACATTGCTACCATCTAAACGGAAGTTCATTTATGCCTTTACGATAGAACTCTGGGATCTAGGTTCGAGAAACTGTGTGAAAGCATTTTGTACTGCCTCCTGGGAAGATTTTTTTATCACGTAGAAAATTGTCCAAATCACGCAAAAAATGGTAGTCCGTTAGAGCAAGATCTGTGGAGTATGGAGAAAGACGTATGGTCTCTAACTGCAGCTCCTGTAGAGTTACAACGGTTTCTCGTGCAGTGTAAAGCCTTGCGTTATCATGGAGCAATAACGGTGAAGAGCGATTCACGAGTCGGGTTTCACTACCAGTTTCGTCATCATCGTTCGAAGTTCAGTATAGTAAACATCCGTCATTATTGCCTGACCAGACCTGAGAAAGCTATAGTGAATAACACCATGAAGAGACCACCAAACAGTTACCATTACCTTTTTATCGGTAAGCTTTGTTTTAGGGTACTGTTGCGACGTTTGATCAAAGTCAGCTATTGCATTTTTCGCTTACGGTTATCGTAAATAATCGACTTCTCGTCATATGTCACAATTCGATGCAATTTTTCTTCATTTCTGTACCGATTCAACAAGACAAAACACAAGTTTCAACACCAACAACATTTCTTTCTGCAGATCAGTAAAATCATGAGGCACCCATTTTTCATATTTTTTATCTTATTGATTAGATGCAAATGAATCAATATTGTAGGTAAAGTAACGTTAAACCATGCAGCTAATTCCTGGGTAGTTTGACTCGGATCGACCCTCACCATCTCCGTCAGCTCAGCATTATTCCCCTGTGTGGGCGGCCTTCCACGTGGATCGCTCTTCAAGTCGAATTTTCCATTACGAAAGTGCTTAAACCAAAAACGCACTTTGCAGTCTCCTCTCCAAACGCAGCGTACAAATTGCGAGCCGTATTTTCCGCGTTAGTTCCGCGCAGGAACTCGTATTCAGAAATGACTCGGCTTTTCGAAGTATACCTCTTTCACGTCTAAGCTGAATAAAAAAACAATTGAAAGCCAAAAATCGAATGTTGCAACATTTTTTAAACATTCATCAACATCGAAACATTTTTTAGAAGAAGAACCTCAGAGGTGTCATGTGAAAAAAGTTACACACGAAAATCTCAGACCATGAAGGGCTTATGTCAATTCAAAGTTTCTATTAGTATACAACGGCAATTTCATACTTTAACCCCAATTGTTTAAGTAAGTTTGTTGTTCAAATTGCTAAATGTTGGCATACTCATAAATAATACTTGCGCATTCTTAAGATGTTGTAACTGACACTATTTTATCAGATAACATATCATACGAGGGGATGTACATTTGGATAATTTTCAAAATTAAGAGTTTGTGCAAAACAATAATTATATATAAATTTTTGACATTATTGACATAGCTTAGTACTAATTTTGTAAATATAAATATATATATATTATAACACTAAACATTTGTATTGTCTCCTCTTCTTTTACCTATAGTTGTTAAAGTTCCTTCAGCTGTATAATTTTGCGATGATTTGTTTTAAATAAATCTACTAAATATGATCTTGTTCTGTATTATTGTTAACGTTTTATTGACAAAAAACAGTTTGTAGACATGGTTATGGTAAGCGATGCCAATGTTTTTGAATTAAAGACAAAAGAGTGGTCAACAAACTAATTCATTCGTGTACAAACGAAGTACATTAAAGTAAAATTGCATTCAGGGTCTGAATAGTTGAGGTACAAATAAATATGTTGCTGTTTATGTTCGTCAGACGATTTGGTAACTTTTTATATGGCATAACCCCTTATACAACGCAAACGAGCAGCCCGGGCCACCTGATGGAAAGTAACCACTACCACCCATGGACATCCGCAACTCAACTATATAACCATCGGTATATAAATCAAAACAACTTACATAAACATTTTAGCTTGAAAACCTTATTTATGAAGTTCTTCCAAAAATTCCGATAGGTAGGTATTTCATAGTTAGTATGTTTAACTCGAATTATCAATCATTTATTATTGTTTTGTTTGTCGCGGCGCCGGCGGTACACACTGTTGCGAACCTTGCAAATAGTGTAACTCTAGCACTTGTATATTTGTAAACAAAACACATACCTTGTCTGTATAGTCGTGGGCGGTGAGGGATCCACGTGCGATGCACTACTGTGTTGTGGTGAGCAGGTACTGATTACAAGTGCTTAAATAGCGCGAAGGGAGCCACCGCCTCGTATCACAGCCAATGAGCCTTGACGCTTATCAGCGTCGCTCATGTCCGAGTTGTCTTAACGTGTTGCTGTGGCCGCAGTACACCACCACCACCACCCAATCCATTCTCTCACCTCTTTACACACTCTTTGCTTTGTTTCTAATAAATATCTTCAATAATTGAACGGCGATCTTTATGCTCCTAGGCAAAAAAGGAAATGATGATCTATAACCACTGGTAAGACCCGCAGGACGCCATATGAACTATTTTCAAGGTACATTAATTCCAAAAAAGGTAAGCGTGAGGCAATTCAGCCGGTCCTAAAAAGAAAAGCCAAAATCCCTTTATAATAATAATAAAATTTATTTCGAGTAACTGTGACTTATCGTAGTAGTAGTAGGCATTGGTGAGCCCCACATTAGGAGTAGGGCAAGAAGATAACGTCATACATCTCACACGCGGCCGTTGATTCCAAAGTAGACAGAGTCTGTATATAGTACATAACCAAACTGCTGATAAACATATATGCATATATGCATACATGTTATAGATAAATTACATCCAAACACAGAACAAATGGCCGTGCTCATCACACAATTATTTGTCTTGGGTAAGAATCGAACTCACCACCTTCGGCTTAGCAGTCAGGGTCACCAACCACTAGACCAACAGGCCGAAGATAATGATTAATTGTTAGTACTATTGTTAGTGCTATTTTTCTTTCTTTCTTACTTTGCATTTGAATTATCATACAACATACTATTCACCTGTCTTATGGTAAATGATATTTATTGCAGCTTAATAACAATTCATAGTAATTAATATAATATGGCAAAATAAGAAAGATTACGTTTTCTTGGCCTACCGTGCAACGGAAGGCTGAACCTGTAACTTCTCTACAAGTAAGCTACAGAATAGCTTGAATGTGTAAAACATTTTCAATTAAGAATACATCGAGGACTATTTCGGAGAGCGTCGGATGCGCTGCCATCAAACTGAAATAAAACAAAAACGGAAACCAAAGAAAAAACTAATAGAATTTCGTGACAGCTGTACTGTCTCGAAATTCGTATTAAAATAACGAGTATTAACAAGTATTAAAAAAGTAAACCAAAAACTAACCAAAGAAAATGGTCGGCTGCAATGTTTTTTCAAGGGATTTCACTAATAATACTACATGACTTGAAAATTTCTGGACAGTAATAGAAGTAAGCGAAGTATGATTCCTTTAAATTATAGTTTTGAAATATTAAAGCCAAGTGAAATAATACAAAGCATACATTGGTATGTTATAACTGGCCCTCCATAAATTCGTATCAATTACAATTAATAATGTTTTGGCATTAAGCCAAAGACTTTCCAATCTTCCATAGCTTTTTTGGAACGAAGTTCCTTATCGCGCGTTGTGAAAGGGGGCTAGACGGAAAAAATTCTTACGAAAATTGGTCACGACACTTTTTGCTATAGTAAGCTATTGTAAGCTATTTTCATTTCTATCTTTTTATGTCAGTCATTCAGCGCCATCTATCGAATAGGTAGGAAATCATTTCTCAAGGAGATTTTACCAATGTATAAATTGTTTTAATTAGAAACCAACTGAAAAATATGCAGGTAATAGCCGCTTTCATAGATGGCGTTGTAATTAAAATGTGCCGAATCAGTTTTACTCGATCGTTACAACTTCGTTCCTATCGGGTGTCCCACGACACCACACGGTTTTTGCTATTCCACTTAATGCCAACCAGCGACTCCTCGTCCTATAGGCTCGTGGCCCTTTTTACAAAAACAATCTTAAACCCCGCCCTTAGAGTCAGGGGACAAACTTAAATCAAATCTTGGTATTTAATATAATCCATTAAAATGTATTTGAGCATTACGCCATTAACAAATTATCCACAAATAACTGCTCGACACTTTATGACAATTACTCTAATGAATCATTTCACCTTTCAGAGGGGAGGCCTCTGTCCAGCAGTGGACTGTCATAGGCTGTTGATGATGATTGATGATGATTTATGTAAGTGCATTTAGAACAATTGTAAGCTTAGTATTAATCATTGTGTGTGTGAGATTTATTGGAACAAATGTTAATATTTCTGGAAGAGTCGGGTAATGACCATCAGCAACAGTGTGATAAAGATTAACGGTGGTTTAAGATTAACAGTATGATTTAGCATTTTCTGCATGTTTTACCGAAAAACTGTACAAAAAGTTGTACAGAAACAGACAGTGAAAGAAGTAGTGAATTTACTGCAAGCTTTTAAGCAGTAGTCTCTTACTTTGAAATTTGTTGTTAAATAATTCCATTAATTATATTGACACCTATTAAATAGTTTAAAAAATCTGTTAAATTTCAAATGAAAAATTAATTGAAATTTATCTGATTGTTCTTTAGAAACACAATTATAGGTGAATACAAATCAAGAAATGTTGGCTTTTACGGTGGCTAAGTGTTTAGGTAAATTGATTTATAGAATAAATAAACAGTTCTTGTATAACTCGCATTTACCTAATATAGATAATAATAATCTTCAATGGAGATTATGAACTAGTAAGCGATATGCTGATATATAATAAGCTAAGTGTTGCTAAGGTCGCGAGATAGCGTCTGCCAACTGCTTCTTTTGTTTGGTCGTGTTCCTTAAACTATAAATGACGCACATCTTCCACTCATCAAGGGGCCTTCAACAGCCCTTAAAAACGGTTGAATGCTAGGTACTGTTCAGCTAATTCCCTGAGTACTTCCCACCTCAAGCTTAAAACAGAACAAGAACAACATAGTTACTCAATTGACGCAATATTATAAAATATTAGCCATAAACTTATAAAGGACGCGATAAGAAATAATAAAAGAAACTAATAAGAAAGATTAATGAACCCGTTCGAATAACGTCGAGTCGCTCACGCACCGACCGCGCCGTCCGCGCCGTCCGCGCCGCACTTGGCGTTGATCCTGTCCGTTCTGCCTCAATTCCAAGATAACCGATAACTTAACGATAAACAATTAAAATGGTGTCGCGTGCAAACCGTTTCTGTTTTGCACGCGGCACTAAACGACACCTACCTTCGTTGGTGACGTGCTCACGTAAGGATTATCAACGAAACTTTATAATTGTGCGCGATACAAGCTGGATTCTGAAAAAAATTGCTTCTCCAAATCTTAAAAATGACAGCACATTGTAACGTCTGTACCGTGATCAACGTTTAACTTCGTCGAAATTATAATCTTGTCTTACCTAAAGACAGCTTACGAGTAGTTATGTAAGTTCAAAAGCTTGACCCAGATAGGCAGTTCTCTTATATTACCTACGTATGAGTGTATTGCTTTTGTACGAATGTTGGAAGACGTATAAATTCTATACAAAGAATAATATAAAAAAATATAATATGTAAAAGTCTAGAAATACAGCGTTAGTATAGCATTACGCGTTGAAATTGCTGACGTCACTTTATGCGGTAAACGTTAGCTTCAACTGCCATCACGGCTGAATTTCATTCTAGTTAGCGTCTCTGCGTCCGATTAAACAACAATGGAACCTTTATAGGACCACGGCCAACTGTGAAAACAGTGGACTCAAAATCTCAAGCGCAAACGTACAATGTACCTAAATGGAAGGTTTTTGAATTAGGTTATTATTATTTTGAATTTTTGGTTAGACAATAACAAAAAAACATTTACACAGTACAGTGAGTCTTATCAAACAAATGACCTTGTTGTGACGCTCTCAAATGTTACTTTTTGATCAGAATTTATAGGACTTTAAGACCTTTCTTCGTCTTTACTGAACCTACATTTTCTTTGAAATTACATCAATTACCCTAATTCATGCGCAGTCGGGTAAATATCTTTACTTATAGATTAAAGGAAAGTCTACTTGAAATCTATGAGAATCTAAACATTTGCGGTTGGAATGTATGGGAGAACAAACTATTTAAATACGAGCTTCCCCTGGGTTCAATCATTAGTCATCTATCACTTTAGAATGGCTACACTACACAAATACGAACAACTTTATTCCGTCAGTGACAAATTCCTAATCAATCGGAGTTGTTATAACTCGGATTGATCATGCATCCTATTTTTTAAATTCATATTTTTCAATATTCCTAACATTTATAATTACTATGCTCAAAATACCCAGTTTCAATAGATCGAGTAACAAAAATGCCGACTAAATGATAATTCGAATTCTTTCTATTTTCTTGCGAATAAAAATATTTTCTTTCGCTGGTCACAGTTCCAAACTAACTTTACCCTAATGATTCACCAACAATAGAGGAGATCTGGCGCTTGGCGATCGCTACCGCGACCCGCTCGCCTTAGTGCTTGGTCACAGTTCTTTTTTAACGTGTGGAAATCCCCTCGGACCGTCACCCCACCGGGGTTTGCGGCGGGGTGGTGTGTCGGACTCGGACCGACTAAAACCACACGGTGTGCCACTCTGCGCCTGTAATAGGAGGGATCCGGGAGTCACAGTTCTAACCTAACCTAACCCAAAGAATTCAATAACAGCAGATGGTACCCGACGCAGGCATATAAGGTGAGGAGAAGAAGAAAACACAAAAAATAATAATACACAAATATTAATAACAAAGTAGACGTTTCTAAATTACATTAGACGTTACTTATAAGTTACGTCTAATGTAATTGTCTTAAAAAGCTATTGAATATATATATGCGTAACTAAATATTATAACTAACTGAATCAGAATCTTAATTTTAGCACTATATTCGAAAAAGTGATCAATCAATAATTTATTTCGTAAAACACGGGTAAATTCAGATGTTGCAAACCATATTTAAAATGATCGACATGTTCTTTTTTTGTTTTTTTTTATGTTGGAGGCAGACGAGCAAACGGTTACCTGATGGAAAGTGACCATCGCCGCCCATGAACGTCTACGACTCAGGAATCGCAAACGCGTTGCCGGCCTTTTAGGAAAGAGTACGCTCTTTTCTTGAGGGTTTGAAGGTCGTATCGGTCCGGAAATACCGCAGACGATAACCCGTTCCACAGATTGGTTGTGCGGGGCAAAAAGTGTCTCGAAGCGCACAGTAGTGGAGCGCCAACTATCCAGGTAATGAGGATGAAAATTGTGCCGTGTGGAACGATGGCGGAAAGTTGCGGCTGGTATTAGTCCGAACAATTCATCGGAGCACTCTCCATGATATCATGGAGAGTGCTCCGATGCGATAGAGAATGCGGAGAGAAGCCACATCTCTACGTAATGCCAAGGGATCGAGCCGATCGGAGATGTTTGGGCTATCGACGATTCGAGTCGCTCTTCGTTGGATGCGGTCCAGATGTTTCACCAGTAGACATACAAAACAATAAAAGTAATTCATTATTCCTGTTACAATACAACTGTTTAAAGACCTGTAATCACATACTTTTTGAATTCAATAAAAAAAACGTTGATTTGGTTTCTCAATTAAATAATATATTGATAAATGATGATTAAAAATGTCAATCACAATATGTCAAAATAATTAATAATCAAAAGTCCAGGTTCTAGTCTAGGCCCTTTTCTGTTTTCAACATATATTCATTTATAAAATTATAAAATAACTGTTTTTCTGTTTTTTCATATTTTAACGACTTACCTCACATTGTCAAGGACAATCTCGACATTGTGTTGTTTGCAGATGATACATCACTATTATTTAGACTAAAACGGACGCTTCCTGATTTCACATTCGTAAACAGCTCCATTTCGAAAGGGGATCATTGGTTTGACATCAACAATTTGCTTTTAATGAACAAAAAACTAAGTGTATACGTTTCACTATGCCAAACGTCAAGCCAGTGAAAACTACTGTGATGATTAAGGATGTCAGCTGGACCTTGTGGATACTACGACAATTTAGGTATAACACTAGATCCTAAGCTACATTCTAAGCTACATATTGATAAATTATCGAGTACACTCAGCTC